TTCTTCGTCAAACATGAAGATTTCTACACTGAAATCTACCCTATACTAGCTGGGGTACCTCAAGGCAGCGTACTAGGCCCGTTACTATACCTCCTTTACACTGCAGACCTACCTACTACCGAAATGACCATGACTGCAACATATGCTGATGACACCGCTGTTTTAGCAACCCATATGGATCCTGCTACGGCATCTAGATGTCTTCAAGAAAACCTACATGACATGCAAAAATGGCTAAGAAAGTGGAAGATCAAAGTCAATGAGAGCAAATCGGTCCAGGTAGCATTTGCTGTGAAAAAAGGACAATGCCCGCCAGTTACACTAAATGACTCACAACTACCGCAAGCAGATGAAGCCAAGTATCTTGGCATACATTTAGATCGCCGGCTAATATGGCGGAAACATATCTTCAGCAAAAGAAAATAATTGGTCCTGAAAATTCGGCAACTGCACTGGATAATCGGACGAAGATCACAACTATCTCTTAATAGCAAACTCTTACTCTACAAGGCAATACTCAAACCTATAAGGACGTATGGAATATCGCTGTGGGGAACAGCAAGCAATTCAAACCTGGAAATACTACAACGATTTCAGAACAAGGTCCTCAGGGAAATAGTTGATGCGCCCTGGTATGTGCCCAATACAGTGTTACATAAGGACTTAAGTGTATCTACAGTGCGAGAAGAAATTAAAAAGTGTAGTGCTAAGTACAGTCGGAGACTACAAGTACATCCAAACGAACTTGCAGCCTCACTACTAACCCATGAAGATGAAGTTAGGAGATTAAAAAGATTCAAACCGTCAGACCTATCTGATAGATTTAGCTAGTTTTAAGTGCATACATGCCACAAATCTTAAGGCATCTACTGGGATAGCCTTATTAACACTGTTAATGACATAGTTCCACATCAGTCACCAAAAGTGCTCATTGTCCTTAATTGGACAGATTGTATGAATCTATCAAAAAAAAAAAAGTCTCCGTTCTTCCTGTGCACGTAAGCAACATGCTGCCACACGCATACCTGCCAGGGGTACTCTGGCGCGCGCTGTCGTAATTGGCTGCTTCTCCTCGCCCAGTACCTCGGCCGCCACGGCACGGATCTCGGCCCAGTCGCGAGTGATGTCGTCCCCGGTTGTGCGCTGCGAAGTGACGGTGAATCTGATCACATAACGACCCTTCAGAGCGGCGGGAACACAATGCAGATTGCCACGCGCGTTTAAGCGCTTCAGCAGGCGTTCAGTCAGGTGGTTCTCTCCGCGCAGACGGAAAACCACCATGCCCAGGTGACGTGGCGCTGGGATCTCGAACCTCTGGTCCGCTAGCACAAGCGCCTCGAACTTCTGAGCTAATCGAACACCCTGTAGAAACAGTAAATGTCTCAGTGTCTTTACGTGATATAGCGCGGTGTTCGGTCAGAATGCGGGTTTGGTACAGGCGACTTTCCGGGCTAACGTCGTAAAGCGAATTACGCCAAATATTTTGGAAGTGAGGATTATTATAAAAATAAATGCAAGTATGTAGCTCTACAAACATACTTTTATTTAAACATAAAGACACATAAACATGAAAAGTTTTAATATCTCATGGTTGTCATTTTGAACAGTACGATTGTCTGGGATGTAACACCGTGTAGTTCAAAGAGCCCGACGTTTCGAGGGAACATATGGTCTCCACTTTCAGAGCGCAAGTGTAAACCAATTAAGTAACCGGCAGAAGTAGGCGACAAGCTGAGCCCTCGACGCTTCGGAGTGACATCGGCCTCCAAGCAAGAAAACAGCAGAAACAGTGGCAAGGTTAGCCCCCAACCTTTCGGATGAATATTTCGCTTCCATGCAAGAAACCAGCAGAACCTTCAGCTTGCCATTTGCTTCCGTTAGTTGTTTGATTGTCTTAATCTTCGGCTTTGAAGACGGAGGCCCTATGTACCCCCGAAAGTCGGGCTGTCTTCGAACTGTTCGGTGTTATAATCCAGAACACCTTTCTCTTCAGCCCTAAGGTTATACTTGTATTTTAATTAAGCATCGTGCCATGAAGTATGGGGCAAGGGATGTTACCTCGAAGTTGCAACTTAATGTGTTTGATTGCTTCTGTAAAGGCGAGAAATTATAAAGTTTCGGGGTATAGTCTATGTTAGATTTAAATGTGTTTGCTTTGTAATTCAATAATTTTTTGAGAGAAAATACTTTCTTGCAGTAAAGTTATTTTTAAACCTCTTTGATAGAGAATGTGACCGCCTCTGTGATCTACTGATCAGAGTTCCTAGATACAGATCAAAAGGTCCCAGGTTCGATCCCCGGCGCTACCAGATTTTCTGAGAAGTAGTGGGTCTGGAATGGGATCCACTAGCCTCACGAGGATAATTGAGGAGCTATTTGAATGGAAAAGGAGCGGCTCCGGTTTATAAAACTGAGATTAATGGACTCAAAATTTGGCACTAACTTCGCCGACAAGCGGCGATCCCTCGGTCGGTATAGTTATCTTACGAACTGAAGCCGAGGAATTTGTTTTTGTGATAGAGAATGTTCTTTAGCTTTCCAGAGGCCACTTTTAACGAAGACACTTTCCCACATCAGTTTGAATTTCTGGTTTTGCTTTTTTCTCGGAAGTGTTACTTGTGTTACTTCGATCGTCATAATTTTCCACACAACCCCAATTAACAAGGCCATTGTAATTCGAAAGGAAACATTTTTTTTCCCCCCAATAATTCTGATCTGCTGAAACCAAATCTAAACACCAATGTTTTGATTGCGTTAGTGTTCTGTGTTTTGAATTTTTGTGTAAAAACACGCGTTTATTCACTTTCATATTCTCTTCCCTCTGTTCTTAAAATTTATATCAACATAATATGAAAATATGTTTCATTTGCGAATAAGATATTGTTTCATTTTCATAACCACATTACTTCAAAGTCCATAATATGTTATATGTACATGTATATATCTGACATACAAGAAAAAAGCAAGATAAGAGAATAAGCAACTCTGTTAACAACATTTTGACTGTCACTCTTCATTTAATAGAAACAGATCGATTGAAAAACTTATTTCTTTCATATCACACAAAAATGGGAAATTTTATTTGGCTGTGTAGTTAGAGGCAATTTTGGGCCGCGCCATAGCTCAAGCGGTTAATCGCTGGCTTCCCACAGCGGCGGCCCGGGTTCGATCCCGAGTCTCGTCAAATGGGATTTGTGGTGGGCAAAGTGGCGCTGGAGCAGGTTTTCTCCGAGTACTTCGGTTTCCCCTGCCAATCGTCATTCCACCAATTGCTCCACAATCACCCTCACCTATCATCTGGGGCTGGTACAATAGGCCAGAAGTGGCCGCAGTACAAGGGACTTAGTCCCACCCCACTAGCAATAAAAAAAAAATATATATATATATAGGCAATCTAAGAATGTCTGTTTCAGCTGTCATTAAGAACACCGCTTACAAATCAGCACATGTCAAAATATCGCCAGAGGAATTTCTTGGCATATGACACGAATAAAATAAAAATCATTATAGTTCTATCGCTCTTAAATATTTGTAGTAGAATTAATTTTTGCAAGGGAAATAATGGAAAGGACAAACACTCAAACCCATTAGGAAAATACAACATTCATATAATTATAATATACATATGAAGGACACCTACATCAATACATACACCCCAATATTCGAAACTCTATACCAATTCTACACCAGATAGCAGCACACGCCAAACCCTTTCCTTAAAAAAAGCAGAACCAAGAGAAGACATTCACAGCCAGCACAACTGAACATAGAGCGACACCAAAACACCACCGTGGGAAAGAAACACGTAAGTACACAATAGAACACTAACACTTAATATATAATACACTGCTGCACGGTACAATTATTACTTGTTACAGTTATCACATAGAATTGAAATGCACGCTGCTAGCAATTATCAGGTGCCAATGTTTTAAGGATTTTAGATAATCTTTTTGAAATTAACAGCGCGTTCCACGTGCGACTAAAACTAAAATGAAAGTGCCAGTACAACAGTTTTAGTAAGACTGGCCATGTGAGGTCGAAACATATTGTAGCAGATTGTACAAAGGACAGAACGCAAGAGTAAAAACGTTGCATTCGGAAGAAAAACACTTATCTATTGAAGATTAATAGCAATGCAACAGGACGTTTAAGTACAGTAATGTGTTTGCTATAATTTGTCTAAAATATCATTGAGGATACGTCATAAATTAAGAAGGCAAAGTTATGGAGGAAAAATCATATATATTCAATAGGATATCGCAATTTTGTTACTCGTTTTATGTTTAAAATAGAATCTAGTAACTTTCTAATATTCACTTAATTATACATGGTGATTCTAAATTATTGTCTGGGTTTTTGTTTTGTAGGCCACGGAAACCTTGATAATAATTTAAAATCACCCTGTATGCACCGTAGTTACATGATGAGGCGCCCTCAAAGATGCTTAAAAAAAAAGCAATTATTGTTTAATTTGTATGCCATTCTCAATGCTAAGACGGACGGCCTTTTAGAGTAGGGAGCTGTAACGTCTTCTGATTTACCTCTCGAATATGTTTCTGTAGTCCTTTGACGCCAAAATTTCTGATGACGAACCACAATTTGAGAGCCCTGAACCGCTTGCTCAGTGGGATCTGCCAGTGCTGTGTTGTGAGAAACAGAGAGAACAGAATTAAATGTCACTTCACATGAACAGAATCGGACGAGAGCTCATTTGCGTGCTTCATGCTCTGCAAGGTCAGCATTAAGGAGGGACGGGCCAAATACGGCTCATGAATGCATCTTAATCGGCCTTGGAGACACGGTTATCCTCACATGTTTCCAGTTCAACCCAGCCGGCTTAAGACGATGGCCGATCTACAAAGAATGTTGTTAAAATTTCTCCCTTTTTTGCTGTTGTATTGAGTCGTACCTAAGTACTGTATTACGTTACTTTTATAAAAAATGTACCTCTATCCCTGTAACAGGCCATGAAGGCCCATAGGGTTGTGAGACCTTGTTACTTTTACACAATGTTAAACATTTCGAGCACTACACTTTTTCTTTACTTACTCGTACTTACTCATGGAGCTGAGCCCTTCTGGAGGAGCCGCCAATTCTGCAGCTACTCAAGAACTTCCCAGCATATTATGGAACCCGAAGGTTCATTACCGTGTTCACAAGAGCCCTCCACTGGTCCCTATCCTGAGCCAGATCAATCCAATCAATACCATCCCATCCTGTCTCTCTAAGATCCATTTTAATATTGTCCACCCACCTACGCCTTGGTCTTCCTTGTGGTCTCTTTCCTTCTGGCTTTCCCATCAATATCCTATACGCATTCCTAGTCTCACCATTCGTGCTACATGCCTTGCCCACCTCATCCTCATTGACTTGATCATTCCAATTACTTGGAGAAGGGTACAAGTTATGAAGCTCCTCATTATGCAGTTTTCTCCAACCTCCTGTCACGTCATCTCTCTTCGGGCCAAATATTCTCCTCAATGCCCTGTTCTCAAACACCCTCAGTCTGTGTTCCTCCCTTAATGTCAGAGACAAAGTTTCACACCCATACAGAACCACAGGTAAAATTACAGTTCTGTGTATTCTAATATTTATGTTTTTGGACAACAGACGAGAAGACAAAAGGTTTTGTTATGAATGGTAGCAAGCATTACCCGAGTTAAATCGCCTCTTAATTTCCTCCTGAATCAGGTTTCGATCTTTTATCGTTGTTCCCAAATATCTGAACTGTGCCACATTTTCAAAACATCTGCTACCTATCTTTATGTCATGATTATACCCTGCATTTTGGTGACAAGACAGTAACATACACCAAGTTTTCTCAGTGTTTACTTTTAGACCAGCCTCTTTACTTGCGTCAATTAAAGTTTATGTTTTCTTTATAGAATCTACATTATCACCCAGTAGATTCACATCATCGGCATAGGCCAACAGCTGATGTGTCCCGTTTAATTTCAGTCCCACCTGGTTTCCCTGAACCTTCCTAATGGCATATTCTAAAGCAAAGTTGAAAAGGAGTGGCGATAAAGCATCTCCTTGGTTCTCAAACAGCTAGGCAGAGTAAATACGAGTACTTATCATGAAGCCACTGGATCCGAAGTGGATGTGAAGTGAACACTATTTATACTTATGTTTTTAATGCGCAACCGCAGTATGGCAAGTAAAACTAATGTACCATTTAGTGAACTGTTAACTACCCATATCTACAAGAAATATGTAGTAGAAGGGATACTTGGCAACTGAAATGTGTGGAAGGGCAGATGAGTGGAGAAATCTTTATTTGTACAGACTGGTAGTAATTTCCTATGTCCCAGCATACGAAGGATAAATTATATACAGAAAAATAATATGAAATGTAATAAAACGGACAAGATACAGAATAAGTGAAAGAGAGTTTGTCATTTATAAATTAAGAGATACTCGTATTTGACAGATTCTGAAGAATTCTGGTAGTTATAACAGATGTCCGGCTTACAGAGAGAGGCAGCTTCGGGACCTGGTCACTTTCCCTTGTCTCTCTCTATCTGGATAAGAGTAAAGTAAAATAAAAAAAGTAAAGCTATCCCTGTAACAGGCCGTGAAGGCTCATAGGGTTGTGAGACGTTGAGGCTCCCACATTATCTAGATAATCGGCTCAAAGATGGCGGTAAGGTTGTCAGCCTTACGCGCCGGCCGAGCTTTACTCCTCAGGAAAATTATTTAATTAATTCCTGGTACTCATTTCTGTTATAGGCTGAGTCGACCTCAGGGCCACACTGCGGCTGGAAGGATTAGGTAAAAAAAAATCCAGTGACGTCTTCGGGACTTGAACCCGTGACCTTCCGGTTTGTAGCATGGTGCCTCAACCAACCACGCTACCGCGTGCCCCACTGTAATTGGATACTAGATTATATTGGGATGTGACTTAAATATTCACTAAAATGCTTATTATGTCACGTGTACTTACCATGTAGTCAATTGCTAGACCTACAACAAATGAATAATTACACACATTTATAATATTTCACGGCATTTGATAACGTAGCTCTTATTTGCTAACAGAAAAAGGGATAAAGGTATCCCTGTGACAGGCAGTGGAGGCCCATAGGTTTGTGATACGTCGAGGCTCCCACAATTTCTAGACAATCGGCTCACAGATGGCAGTGAAGTTTTCAGCCTTGCGAGCCGGCAGCGGTTTTCCCGTATATATATATATTTTCCTTGGCACTACAGCCCCAGTGGGCCTAGGCCTACCTCCATGAACTCCGTTCACTTCGGTTTTTCTAGATCTTACACATTCGGTAGAACTCCTTGGGCGGGTGATCAGTTCGTCGCAAGGCCTCTACCTGTACACAAACACAGAAAAACGCACACAAACATCCATGCCCTGAGTGGGATTCGAACCCACGATCCCGGCTTCCGAGCGAGCGAAGACAGTGCATGCCTTAGACCGCTCGGTTACCGTGACCTATATATATGTCTCCTTATTCCTGTTTGAACCTGCATGCCTGTGACGCAAGCAAACGATGTTTAAAAAAATAGCAAAAATAAACAGCTCTGTTGATTTTGAAGAAAGCCCATTAAGTTGTATAGAACATACCTAAGTAGGATCTATATCCAGTTAGGTTGATTCGTTATATTATTTTGAATCTGCTTAGTTTCATGGGGGGTACTATGCTACAAACCTGAAGGTCATGGGTTCAAGTTCCGATGACGTGGATGCTTTCTCAGTTTACCTAATCCTTCCAGCCTCTAACAGAAATGAGTACCAGGAATCTTCCTGGAAGTTAAAGGGCAGCTTGCGCATAGGGCTGACAATCTTACCGCCATCTGTGAGCCGACTGTCTAGAGAAAATGTGGGAAACTCTTATGTCTCACAAACCTAAGGGCCCTCACGGACTGTTACAGGGATAGCTTTACCTTTCTTTCTGTTTCATGGCGTTTTCTGCACTCTTTCGTGTCTTTATTTCTGTTGGTTTCCAGAAACATTTTCTCTTTAGTGTCCTGTTCTCAAACATATTTGTTACCGCTATCCTCCAGCGAATAAAAGATGAGGAAAGTGATGCATAAAATTAGTTCACACCCATACTTTTATTGTTAATTTCATTATCCCAACGGTAATAGTAATAGACGTCCGAAAGTCAAGCACGTATACTCGGCATGCACAGTATAAGCTGGCAAGTCTTGATATTTGCCTCGCATCTCCTCTTTCGGTGAAAATTGTCTTATGGAATACTAAAGGTTTTGTCATACCTGAATTTTCGTGCTGAAGGTACAGTGGCTCCACGTTGAAGGTTCGATGCAGTGCCCCACTGTTTTTCACCCTGAGGAAAGAAATAATAATGATTAATCTCTGGCTAAAAACATGACTTCTTTTGGATATCGAACTTACTTAATGGCGGTTTTAATGTTTTATTTCATAACACCATAAAATTATAGCCTGAAGGTCATTTAATGATCCCGCGTGTCCGCCTTGAAACAGCATTGGCTAGCAGTGTCGTGTGGGCCAGGCCCACGGTACCATTGTACCGTTGTACCATTGAGGCACATACTGCTAGGCATTCTGCACGCTTAAAGAGCGCAACTGGGCTTGAAATTAAGATGTGACAAGAGTGCTACATTCTTGCCTTCAAATTGGCTTTTGCTGCGTCACACGAATGTTTGGTTAGGGGCCAATAAATATATTCCAGATACCGACAGAGTTCCAAATAATAAACTCGAAACAAATATGTAAGATTTATTAGGTTTTCACGGCGGTGACTATGAAGAATTCCGTCTTTTGGGATGTGGCGCCGTGTGAATCTTGTGTGATCCAACATTTCGGAGGAACGTATCGCCTCCATCTTCAGGGTTGAAAAATCCACGAGCGAGAAACCAGCTTGAGCTAGTGGCTGCAGACTGATTCAACAGTCGAAACAAATAGCTTCATTTATATCGTTACTTAACATGTTCGGATCACTGTCAGTTAATAGTGACGATATGAACAGAACATCGGCATGAACTGATTTTTAACTTCATAAGAAGCAAAATGGGAGAGAGTTCATAAAGTGTGCTGCCACAGAAATTGTTGTTGCCTCAGGCAGCCGCTTGGTTCGCCACCGTCGGCTCTGTTTGCTCTCCATATTTTTACCTTGATTGTCGGGTTTTTACCTGTAAAAGGAAACGAAATATTGTGTTGTGAACGGACGAGGGAAGAAGTTTGTGTCTAAAGGGATTCGTCTGCCCGTATCTGTGACCCACAGTGCATTAGTTCCCGCTAAGCTGCTTTGTTCAGTCTTTTCGTTAATTTGCTGTACCCGCTGGGAAGCAGAGTTCAAAATTGAATTTCCGGTACATCTGACAAACTGTGAGCAAGCTTAGTGATGCGGTGGGCAGCGGAAGGGTGAAACACGGTGTCGGAAATAAGTGGGAGACTCCTCCAGTAGGGAGACGATTGGACGCCTTAGGAATGAGCGAGTAGTGGACAAGGTGGAAGGGAGGCGTCATGACTACCCCCTAAACGCCAAAGGTTCATGACCCTGGGTAGAAAAGTAATAAATTATTTACAAGAGTACAGTGCTCATAAGGCAACATGGAATACGATTAGTTTTTTTAACAGCAAGATCTCCTGGTTTATAACGCCTTGTAGTTCGGTAAAGCCCGCCTATGTTTCGGAGGAACATGTCGCCTCCATCATCAGGTTCGAAAAGTAAGCCAAGCAACAACCCAGCATTAAGAAGACGGTTTTTTTTGCGTCCTGCTTGTGCTAATTTCTCTTTTGCTTATTTTTTGGTCCTGAAGATGGAGGCGATATATTCCTCTGAAACGTCTTGCTATCTGCGAAATACACCGCGTTAGAAAGTCAAATCCAACAGAAGTTGTAAGAAGTTTCAGTAGGAGTACTTGACGGAAAGACATAGGTGGGAGGTCAGGTATAGCCTTTAAACGACTAAAGACAACGTATGTCGTCGTTAAAAGAAAGTCCCCGGTACGAATGACGCTATATGGTGTCGCAGAGTCCGCGCGTGGCAACGTTATATAAAATTAAATTTTAAANATTTGTACGAGTCCCGGTGTGGCGGATTTTTTCAATGTACCTAATCCTTTCAGCCGCACTATGGCCCTGGAGTCGACACAGTCTGTATCAGAAATGAGTACCAGGGATCTTCCTGGGGGGTAAAGGGCGCCCGGCGCGTGAGGCTGATAACCTTACCGCCATCGGTGAGCCGATTGTCTAAAGAAAATGTGAGAGCCTCGACGTCTTACAACCCTGTGTGTTACAGGGATAGATTTACTTTTACCCACACCGTAAAAACGTATGGAAAAGTGGAGCTGTAGCTCCACCATACTTGATCTCGGCACTAAATGGGAGTGGTCAGCTTCACACCCTGGCCACTTTGTCCTCTACAAAAAGCCCCTTTAACAAATGGATAGGAGGCTGGGTGGCCACAGAGCCAGTCTGGATGTTGTGGAGAAGAGGGAATTCTAGCCCCTATCAAGACTCGAACCACGGTCTTCCAGCCCGTCGTTATGCCCGTTCTTAAGAAAACTGGAAGAGGGCGAATGGCTGAAAAGGACGTCGAAGGAAATGGCATGATCATGTGGGAAAGATGCTGCCTGAACTTGTGCCGCGATAAGCACATCTGTATCATCGAACAGAGGAAGGGACATTGGACGATGCCATACGTGTACATGCGCACAACAATCGTTCTAATCTCGGAGCGGGTCACAGCTCAATTCTTGAAACGTCAGAAGAGGAAGAAACAATTTGGTCCCACCAGAGGCGGGGGGGGGCCGTGAGAAGAAAATCATCCATATAAGGGGCGCCAGCGTCTTAGGAGTGATCGCTGAGACCGGGTTTAAGCCAAGCTGTGAGAACACAAAATCTACAAGTGCCAGGTTAAGGGGTGCACTCGGGACGCCCCCCCCCCAGGCGCAGGGTGTGGGGTGGATGAGCGAAGTCTCGTGATCACGGGTCACCAAGCTCAGGTCAGAGACAAAAAGCTGTACACGGTTCGTGATATTTCAAATGCGAGTTACGAGAAGGGGTAGAGGAGAGGCCCCCCCCCCCAATGAGAGCCCCTGGACGCAGTTGGAAGGTTTGTGCTGTGCTTCACTAGTTCATATTCGGATCACAGGGGCCCAACCAAAAGGGGGGTCAGGAATAATGGGGAGGCGGAATATGAGCTTATGGGCTATGTACATATAGCTCAGAGTATGGGTCAACTGCGGCCTCTTGTGCACACGGTAATGAACATGTAAGATTTGATATTCTCAGGGCAGTAAGAATGGATATTACTGTCTTCTCAGATGTGACGTCTTGCAGAATGGTATATATCTACCAGAATATGCGATGTAACATCCACTAGACACCAGTATTTCGGAGGAAATTTCAATGTGGCCTACAGATGAAGAGAGCACATTAGTCCGAAACGTCATTACCAAACTGCACGATGTCACGCCCTAGAGGACCTTAATCTTCATATTCTGGAGAGTGAGGTAGGTATTTACCAAACTACACGACGTTGCAAGCCAAAAGATCGTACTCTTCACAATGATCTCTGTGAGAATCTCACATCCTGAAGGTTGTTTTGTTCTTATTATCAAGATTTGCGTACCAATCAACGCCAACGCCTTTTTGTATGAATGCAATCCAGGAAGTTTGAGGTCAGTTACGTACAACTGAGCATACGATCACAGCGGGTGTCCGCTTCTAGCGAAAAAGGTTGATTTCGAACCTGGGTAAAAGTGAAGTTTTAATTAAGTGTCACGTCATGCAGACTTAACGAGAGTTGACGTGAAACTCCACAGGTTTTAATCTCATATGGAGGTAAGTGTTCTGCTTTACGCTTCATCCGCCTCATCCCCGGACGCTGAGTGGGCCCCAGAGCAGGTCCAGAAGGTAAAAAACTATCTTTCTTCTGCCGAATATCGAACTTCTCCTGTTCCAAGGTTATCCAGAAAGAAACATGGTCACAGTACCGAATGAGTAATCCACGATGCTCTTCGCTATTACAAGAAGAGCTGTGACCTTCGCTGCAGTGCAGACGCTTTCTGACTAACCCCCCTTCCCGCCGCCACTGATTAATAGTAATAATGGTCATTGGTGCTCAACACTACAACTCATACTGCTCACATTCTTTCAATCATTCACCAATGGCTCTACAGCCTTTTGTTAGGCCCTGGCCTCCTCTTCTGTTTCGTAATATTTTATACAGATGGTAGGACCCCTTGGACGGGGGATCAGCCCGTCGCAAGACCGCTACCTACATACAAGACAACACAAACGTAGAATAAACGCACAACACATAAACATCCATGCCTCTGATTGGGATTTGAACCCACAATCCCACCGTTCGAGTGAGTGAATACAGTTCTTGCATTAGAACTCGCGGCCACTGTGATTAGCATTGTTCAGATTAGTGAAAAGAATAAGTACCACATTGCAGTACAATCGAAATGCACCATCATCCACTTGGAAGGGTTGAAGGCAATCGAATCCACGTGGTGTATGCCGTTCAACCAATGTCGGAACTCCGGACAGATGAACGCAGTTCCCGCGTAAGCGGCGTCCACATGCAACCACATGTTCTCTGCTTTACCTGCCAGCGAGGAAAAGAAATTACCTACAGAATACATCAAATACTCAGCTACAGCAGCCCCTCGTCAACTGCGGGGGTTACGTCTCTTAAAAATAGGTTACAGTTGTCAAATACGCAGTTTGACCAAACCAAAACATCGAGAATTAAGGGAAATACAGGGCCGTGGCATAGCTCAGGCAGTTAGTCGCCGGCTTCCCACTGCGGCGACCCGGGTTCGAGCCGTGGGTATGTCATGTGAGATTTGTGGTGGACAAAGTGGCACTGGGGCAAGTTTTGTCCGAGTACTTCGGTTTCATCTGCCATTCTCATTCCACCGACTGCTCCATATTCATCATCATCATCATCCTCATCATCCCGGGCTGTTGCTATAGGCCAAGCAGTGGCCGTAGTCTCACCCCACCACAAGAAACTAAAAAAGCGACTTCCTGCACTCGTCGAAGTTGATCTTTTATCTCTTTTTCATTAACATAAAATTACAGTAACAACTTGTTTAGTAATTTTATATAAACCAGTGTCACGAATAGGGATGCATCCATTGAAAGTCTGGATGACAGAATATTTGTTTCGAATTTCCGAAGCAAATTTATCTCCGATTTTATTTGTTCACGAGCAAAAATCGTGAATATATGAAATCAAATTTCGTTGATGGAAAACTGTCTGTTCTTGAAGTCTGCAAGTGTTTTAAACCCGCGGTTAGCGAGGAATTTATGTACAGGTCTATTAGTACACAGACTAACTTTCTGGACTCATACACATTGTGAGCGATTTGGGGGCTCGATAAATTGCATTCTGATTAATGATTAATGAACGTCATATCGACAGAGAAATGGTTGATTCTGTTTCCGGACCATCCTTGTTATATGGACATACCAGAAAGGAAAAGCGAATGCTTATTTAAAAGAGAGTAACCCTTATCACTACACAGTGTAAATGACATATACCACCAAGTATCATCATACATAGTCGCATGGCACGGTTACAATCGCAAAATAAATATTTTTGTTCAAAATATGCTCTATGAAATTTTGGTGAACCTAAGATATAAATGTGAAGAAAGCAGTCTTCTGGGATTTGGCACCGTGTATATGTGGTGTTAACCGACGTTTCGGAGGAACGTATCGCCTCCATCTTCAGGGTAGAAGGAGAAATATAAGAAATCCGCAAGCGAAGATGGAGGCGATACGTTCCTCCGAAACGTCGGTTAACACCACATATACACGGTGCCAAATCCCAGAAGACTGATTTCTTCATAGTCACCGCCGTAAAAGCCTCAGATCTTACAAGATATAAATGTGTTGCACTCACATATCGGTCCCAGCTCCTGTAGATTGTCAAAAGAGCACGCCCCAGTCGTCCCCAGTGTTGCACACAGCTGAAAGAACCACATGAATACGGTGAGTTTTCTAGACAGCGCAACCGCAAAACTTGCGTCGTGGGTCTGCCGTACTTGGCGTGAGAAGCACGCGACCTGAACGCGCCCTCACGAGAAAATGAGATAGACTCTGACTGGCCAGAAGTGTGCTTGGATGGAACCACGCTTTGTAGTTCTTGAATACTCGGCTCACCATGACTGGGGATGATGGTGTCGATTAGATTCAATTGAAGATTACTAAATTTTGGGATGTAATGCAAATCATTACCGACATTTCGGAGGAACTTGCTGCCTGCATCTTCATGGTTCTGACTCTGAAGTAAGAAGCAATTACTCTGAAACGTCGGTAATGATCTTTTAGACTACACGGCGTCACATCTCAAGGGGAAGTAATATTCATAATTTAAGTTGTTAAACTCCTCAAATTTCACATGAACCCAAATACATGATAAACACGCATATGCGTGTCCTTTCCATTCAAGTAAGAGGATTGCCAGAACAACTACGTGACTATTATGTTCCCGGTAAGGATTGCACTCCATGAAGTTAATTGTTAACGAGTAAGGTAGATGACGTAGGTCATCCGGGAAAAGCTTCGTTTCACATCAGTTTCTTAATCTTACACAGTCGGTACACACAAACACAAACTAGGCGCAGACAAACATCCATACATTGAGTGGGATTTGAACCAACGATCCAAGTGTTTGAGAGGGCTAAGGCATTGAAGTAGAAAATAGGACAGGGGATCTGTAAAGGGTGGAGTGAATGTCAATGTAACTGGTACAGAGAAAATAAAAAGAAATATTAAGAAAATTCATGGTAACCAATAAAGTTCCCCCCACCCGTAGTTTACTTCTATCAAAGGCAAGAACCATATTAAGGTCTTGCTTCCTCTACAGTCTGATTTATCTGACGTTATGTAAATCAACTGCAAACTTACAGAATACAGGTATATATATGGCCCAGCAGACCATGCAAATTTCGCGAGTCACTTGCAATACAAAAAATACAGATTCCATGGGTTTACGATGTAGGAAATAATAACACTGACATACTCTTGTTCAGTGGTTCTCAGGTGGGCTGTTCTGCCCCCCGGGGGCATTGGGATTAACTAGAGGGTCACTAAGAGACAAGGGGGCTGCAGGTGGCGCTGGAGGTGGGCCCCTCCAAGCGTCCTGTTCGCTTACTTATAATTTAACTGACTTTAGAGAAGACATTGGGAAACTGGAATCACTTCATGAAGCCCATCCATCGCATTAAGAATTTACTAACAGTGAAGTAGTTACTGAATGTGGTACCTTATTTCATTGCCATTATCTATTTTGAAAAAAAATGCTTTTTTAAGGCGGGACAGAGGCGCTGGGGATAAGTTTATGGAATCAAGGGGACTGGTAGCCCCCAAAACGTTCGAGAACCACTGCACTAGTTGAAGAAGGAGTTTATCATTGAACTTAGAGATTTATTATACGTTTTCCATCATCCAATTTCGGTCGAAGAAACGCAACGTTTCGCAAAAGTGATCCTACTTCCGCCATCAGTACGAAGCATACTCTTCTCGATCCATAAACTGAGACAATCTGTATCCCCGAGTAGCAGTAGTTCTAGTCAGGGTAGGTTAGCTCCAACAGGGACAGATACTGTGCTCTGGTAAGGGACTCACTGAGTGCAGACAGTTGTCTCTCCTTCCCGAGCACTCAGACGGCTTATAGAGCTAGAACTATAGAGTAGAGCTATAGAGTAGAACTAAGAACGTTGTTGTCCCGGTATACAGATTAGCTCCATCTAATGGACAGAGTATATTTGTTATTTTTATCTGATGACGGAAGCAGGGATAACTTCCGAAACAATATGCCTTTAACCGAAACGAGACAATGGAGAACATCCAGCATAAGAACATGTCGGTTGAATGTTCACGTTCCCATATACAGCCTATTAAATTCAGAAAGTCTCTTTGCTTCAATTTTCAGAAGAGGAAATTTATTTTCTCAAAAAACTCTTTATTATGTTATTAATGAGCAAGGTATTCCGTACTGTTCTGATTGTCGCAATGCAACGTCTTCTTTCGTTTTTATTTCATTTTGTTTAGATGCACTGCTGGTTTATAAACCGAGGGACGAAATATCGCATTGTTAATTGGGTCTCATGGGAAACCATTCTTTGTCTTATTAAGAAGACAAGGAAGCAAATCGTCTCAGCTGAAGGCGGACTGTCAGCTTCTCTAATTAATCTCGGCTGAATTTCTAACCTCCACCCAATTTCGAAAATCTGCAACGTTCAGAACACGAGACCACTGGTTCAGCAACGAAACTCGTCTCTTCAGCTTCCAGCCTGAACAGCGTCAGCAGTCAACTGTTTCCTTCGATTCCACTAAGCCGGGGACAGGTCAGTCAATAATGTAATGGCAAACGGGTAGGAGTAGCCCTAAAGGGGCCCATACACGCACGAGTCTGGTTCGCGAGTCCGGCTCAGCGAGCTTAACTCGGGACCACAAACGCATGAGCTGACTCCCAACTTTGCGACCTACACACGGACGAGTTTAGCTCATTGGAACCCAAGCCGAGTCGGACTCGCGAGTCAAACTCGTACGTGTATGGGCCCCTTAACACTCTTCATTCTTTTTCGGCATATATACTGTAATCAGATCTGAAACTGTAATGATCCAGTCTTAAATAATTTATTAAGCACCATGCTATGAAAAAGAATGGGGAAGTTAAGGTCTAGCTCCATTAATTTTAACCTCGGTGCTAAATTGTGTGAGTGGTTGGCTTCCAAATCTGGCCTCTTTACCCCCACGGAAACAGCCCTTGTACCCATTAAGTAGGAGGTTGCGTGGGTCCCAGAGCCGGTCTGGACGTTATGGAAGAGAGAAAAATCAGTTGTCCCTTCTGGAATTGAACCCCGACTCTTCGCACTGTGGTTCAAATCCCTCCCATCTTATCCAAAACACTGAAGATCCAAACAAGTAAATATTAAGTTACGTCTTCTGGGAGATAACGTCGTGTAGTCCGGTGAACGCAAACTAACGCTTGTGAGGGACATACCGCCTCCATATTCAGGTCGAAGAGTAAGCCAAGAAGAAAGCCAGCACTTCTTGCTGTCTATTTCGTGCTGGATCTTGCTTGTCTTACATTTCGACCCTGAAGAAGGACAGACATGTTTTACCAGAACGTCATGGGATGTTCACCGGAATACATGGCATTATGTTGCAGAAAGCGACAGCTGTGAGAACCTAAGACCAAAAAATACATATCAAAAACACAATTAATTAATGTAAGACTTCAAGTTTCACAGCGAATTAACTTACTAAAATATTCTCGGGAGGTCAGCCGCGTCATAGTTAAATAACAACGTTTCGGAGTCCTATTTTGTCTCCATCATCAAGATTGTGATTAGGTCCCCGAAATGTTTGTTTCTAGATCAACCTTGAAGAGGCTAATAATCCGGTAGGATGCTAATGCACACATAAATAAATTAATTTAATAAATATTATTTCCTACTGCGAGGCCTGGAATCGATCCCAGGTCTCGTAACTTAGGATATATAGTGGACAAAATGACGGTGGGGTAGATGTTCTCCAATTACTCTTATTTCCCCTACCAATTCTTATTTCACTAGCTACTCCATATTCATAAATCATCCTCACCATTGACTAAGTATAACCTCGATACTGACAGCGTCGTTAAATCAGTTAAAGTTATTCCTGTGCTTAATTAAGCACATCAGGAATACGTGTGGGGAAGTGGAGGTTTAGCTCCACCATTCTTTATCTCGACAGCAGATGGAGGCGAATTAAATAACCAACTTTAAGAAATAAATTTATTTTCTTTTTCAGGTTCGAATACAGGGTTACTTGCAAGAGAAGGAGCAACTGTACTTACAAAGAAGGGTATGAGTCCCTTGTCCTTGTCTCTGGAGATGGCGTCGAGCAGCCGATCGCCACGTAGAGTCAAGTCTTGGTCGCTCTCGATATAACGCATCTTAACAAGTCCTATGAGACCCGCCTTCTCTACGGATGAATGGGCCTGAAATTGAAATGCAGAGGCCTGAGACGTTGCACCATATTGAGGTACTGTCGTATAGGCCCTGAGGTGAGGTTCCATCTTAAAGAAACCTTGAAGAAGAAACTGGAACTAAATATATTTAACCTAAGAGAAGAAACAAAATGCTACTGTGACATGACGGCTGAAAGCCGGAATAATTTAACGAATAAATATGACAATTATAGGCAACGGTTCGGTAAACACGCTCCCGCGGTAACGGATACGCACGCAACAGCTGGAGGACGATTGGAAGAGATTTCTTCTATGCGGATCGTGCCAAGGCTGTATGAAGAGGACGAACGGGAAGAGATATTCAGCCATGAGACGAGAGTAGACGGTTAGAGTCTTGAGTTGCAATTTTAGAAGCAACTAAGCAACGGTTAGTGAAGACAGTCCTTGTAATAGTCATCTGCGAGCCTATGGATCAATGGAACTGTTATAGCTATTTATTATAAGGGTTCAGTACTTGCAACCACCAATCCAAACTCCATGTCCAGTCACTAACAAAATTATCCGGAATATAATTTAAGAATTCCAACTAACCGAATTCCTCGGAAGCTCTTTGACTCTCATCCTGAAGGAGGCAGAGAGAGAGAGAGAGAGGTCGGCTACCAAGGACATGGAAGGTTTAATTCGTCTAACCAGAACATCCGGACAGGTGAAAAGGCCTAACTATATGGTTAAGTAACGTATACGTCAATACGACATATCTCGAATGGGATTCGAACACACTACTCGAGTATTCGAGCGGGCTAAAGGGGCCCATACACGTACGAGTCTGGCTCGCGAGTCCGACTCTGCTCGGGTTCGAATGAGTCAAACTCGTCCGTGTGAGGGTCGCAAAGTTGGGAGTCAGCTCGTGCGTTTGTGGTGAAATTAATCCGTGCCCGGCTCCCTAGTCAAGCTCGCCCAGCCGGACTCGCGAGCCAGACTCTTACGTGTATGGGCTCCTTAAGACTGTTCAAGCCTTAGACCGCGCGGCCACAGTGATCGGTAGTGTAAATTCTAGGCAATTATATATATATATATATAATACCCTCTGTAGTAGATTAATCGTGACAATGAGGAAGTTATCAACGCAAAGACAACAGCAAAACTTTACTAACAATAGTTCAACGAAAACGCATAAACACCAAGATAATACTGGAATCCAAGATAGGAAAATATACTTCATCTGAAAGATCTTTGAGGGCGCCCCATCATCAGACGCTGACGCAGGGCTTTTTGTCGTCAGACATATACTAGAATCCATTTTAGACAGAAATGAAGAATAGCATTGCTATGTCAGAGATCCCCCTGAAGACACAAGAAATGTCTGCTCTAAGATTGCGTACTCAGGGTATGGCGTATAGCTATCCCAGTAACAGGCCGTGGAGGCCCATAGGGTTGTGAGACGTCGAGGCTCCCACATATGCTAAACAATCGGCTCAAAGATGACGCTGAGGTTGTTAGCCTTGCGCGCCAGCCTCATTTTACCCCCCATGAAGATTCCTGGTACCCATTTCTGTTAGTGACTGAGTCGACCCCAGGACCATAGTGCGGCTGGAAGGATTAGGTTAATCTGAAATTTCAATAACCCCATCGGGAATCGAATCCGCGACCTTCCGACTTGTAGCATAGTTCCTCAACAAACTACGATACCGCGTGCCCCCCTATAAGCTGTTAGTAAAAATTATGAATAAGTAATTAGAGGCCATGTGAAATGTAGTGTTTGTAATTAATATGGGTGTGGATTCTGCTGTGTTCACTTCAAGTAAATCTCTTCCCAATAAAATCAACTTTGTTCTGTGCTTTGTGATTCCGCATTTCTGTACCTTTAGTACCCTTGTGCACACAGCTCATGCACCTATATATAGGCAGAAGCCCATCAAGTGGCTATCACTTGCCTCTGATCTGTTTCAGTAGATCGATAAGTGAAACAGCATGTATTGTAATTCTGCAGGAAAATGTTAAGCGAAGAGGGAGGAACTAGCAGAAGGCTGGGGTTATGACTATCACTCTGCACGCATAGGAGAAAGGCGAAATGCTTACAAAGTTTTCTTTGGAAAACGTAAGGACAGAGACCACTTGGAAGAGACTTAGATGAGGAGATGATGGTCATAGAAACGTGACGACCTCTTATGAATATACCAAGGAACCTTTTGGTTCGTAAAAGGCATTGAATTTCTTTGCTATTTGAGCGAATTTTAACAGTTTTAGAAGGACAGAGCTACATTGAGTCACTGAATTGAGACTGGCATAGGCCCCGGTTATGCAAAATTCAGGGTAAATCCATAATGTATATTTATGCTAGCCGTCTTACCGTGCACACAATTTGACCTTTCTCTTCAATTTTACACTACATGTTTCGACACTAATGTGCCATCTTCAGGTGTGTCTCTATCCACGTCAAACTACTGCACTGCCGATAGAGGCCGAAACATGTAGTGTAGAAGAGAACAAGATCAAAGACATATAATATTGTTTGCACTTGGGACGGAGTGTGTATCATTTATCGTTGAGGTTCAAATTTTGAAAAGCTAATCACAAGTAGCGACTTTAAATGTTCATCGGATAAATTTGCCCTGTATTTCGACTTCATGTACTTCATCTGGGAAAAGGTATGTTCACACAGATATGTCGTTCCAAAAATGGAGATAAATTTACAAGCAAATTTCTTTAAATTTGGAAAGTGCTAAGAGTTCAGAAATGTATACATGTATACATCAAATTTCCTTCCTTGTATTTGTCTTTAATATGATAATTTTCCTGAAGTTAAAAAAATAACCATTTGAATTTGACTTGGGACATCTGCAGCATCATAGTCAAACAGATTTTGAAACAATCTAATTTCCTGAGCACTGGCATCCAAATCAACAAATCGCTTCCGAAATTGTTCTTTCAGATCTTGAAATGACTGAATTTGCAAACGAGGAAGGAAATTCTGCTCGCGCTACCTACATTTCCACGACGTGATACTGCCGATCGAGGCCGAACAAGTACGAAGAAATATCGCGCAGTATACGGTCCAGAATTAGTAAAATTGTGAATAATATTAATATTAACATAATATGGAATATCAATATATTTTAAACACAATCTTAATTAATGAATTTGAAATCTATGAACAAGTATTTTTTTTACCAATACTCATTGGAAAATTAGTTCAATTGGCGCATTTCTGCACAATTCTTTCGCGGGCCGGATAAAATCACATCGCGAGCCGGATGTGGCCCGCGGGCCGTAGTTTGGAGACCCTTGTTTTAGATAAAAACAGGACGATGGATAATGACCAGAAACAGAATACACGTATTTGTACTATGTACCGTCGTCACAAACTTTTAGAGTTTATTAAAGAATTTCCCAACATTTTATGGAGCCCGAAGTTTCATTACCGTCTTCAGAAAAGCCCTCAACTGGTCCCTATCCTGAGCCAGATAAATCCAGTCCTTACCACCACACCCTAACTCTATGAGACGAATCTTGGACAATTTCAACAAAACATCTGAATCAACGGCAACTGTGGTCACTCAGATTGGCACAGATATAACGGAAGCGGTTCGATGTGGCCTTTCTTGCTATTACAGGATGTTATCGGAGGCACGCGGTGGCGTAGTTGGTTGAGTAAAGGACGGCCGGCGCGTAAGGCTTGACACACCGCCATTTGTGAGCCGATTTTCCATAGGAAATGTGGGAGCCTCGACGTCTCACAACCCTATGGACCTTCACGGCCTGTTAGAGCTATAACCTTCACGGATTATCTCTTTGCCTGCAAGTTAGGCTCACATTCCCAACAATACCACTGCACAGCTGAGATAGCTTTGGAGATAAATTTAGCTTAATCCTTGAAGGCTGTTTAATCCTATAGATCAGGCATGTCCAACGCGTCGATCGCGGGACGATTTTTGGTGAATCTCATAGGCCTATAAGCAAATTATACGTGAAAAGCATGTAAATTCACATGTAATATAATATGATTATATTCAGATTCTGAAGGGAAAATACGTGTTAAAGTAGTCTGTACTTTCAATGTACGAGTATGTTGATTTTACAGCAAACATCATGTGTCGTGTTATTTTTACCAATATTTTTGCTTAAAGCAAGGTACGACAATAGGAGGGGGTGGTAGATCACTGGCAGTTTTGACACTAAAATGTCGATCACAACCTGTTTGAAGTTGGACATGCCTGCTATAGATGATGAGCTAAAGGATGAATATAGAAGCCACAAAATTAAGTAGCCGAAATATTTCTTTGTATTGGTCGGCCAGTTGGTCTGGTACACTGCTTCTGGTCCTCACCAGCACAGTAATTCTTGTTTCTATGTCCGCGGGATCCATAAATGTCACAATATTCTTCCCCCCCCCCCACGAATCTGACTAAATCTTGACTGTATATTTGTTGAATATATAGTGCGATTTGTATTCTTATACCGATTTGAAAATATCATGGCCTTCGTCTTGTTTTACAGGTCTGGACCTGATCTTGTTTGACTAAAATCTGTACAAGTATATCTCCAACATTTTTTTTTTCAAAAAGTATGATTAAGGTTCTCACAGCGGTAGTTATGAAGAGTTCTGTACTCTTGATGTAACACCATGTAGTCCATTGAAGTTCGACAGATATTTCGGAGAAATATATCGCCTTCATATTCAGTGTCGAAGAACAAGAACAAAGTTTTTCTTGTCGTCTGATTTCTGCTGTACAGCTCTTGTTATAGTCTATTCCTAGTTGGCTACATGTCTGGCTTACTCATCGATCCTGAAGATGGAGGTAGTATGTTACTCCGAAACATCAGTGAATTTCTATTCTGCTACGCAACGTTGGATCCTTGGAGATAACACAGCGGTGAGAACCCCAAATTCAACAAATTAATTCCAAATCCGGTTTCTGTTTCTATATTATATTTAAGCATCCTGTTACACTCACACAATATATATGAGACAAATTCCGTCTTAAGTGCAACAATTTCATTGGAGTTCTTTCTTCTTCCCTTCCTCTACACTACATGTTTCGGCCCTAAATGGCCATCATCAGGTGTGTGTTCTTACGTAGCTGCTACACTGCCCGTAGTTTAAAATTTAAAATCACCAGTCTTTCCAATTGTATGTATGTATAAAATCTTTGTTAACCTACGCGCGTGAATTTGATTTCTAAAATTGGCACTTTTTTAAAACTTCAATTCAAATTAAAATGTCTATAAATTTTCTGTTTTTTTCTTTTTCCGAATTTTTAAAAATTTTCTCGGGGTACACGCCCTATGTCTATAGTGCTGCAGAGGAAGGGAAGAAGAAAGATCTACAATTAAATTGTTGCACTTAAGACGGAATTGTCTCATATATATTCTGTTTCTATATTGGTACTGTGACAGAGATCCTGCAGTATTTAAGCAAAATAGGGACAAGTACCTGGTCGGAACAGTAGGCCACAAGTCTGCTGTTGATCTCCGCGTCCTCCAGGTCTTCGTCCTGCTCACGGTACCGCCTGATGGCCTCTGTCCGGCCCGCCAACAAACAAACGAACGTTGCCTCACTCGCGGTGGTCTGCAACACCCTCAGCAGTGTCAGCGACATCATACACATTTGTGGTGAGCAAACCGCACACATATAGCCGATATGGCAGGCCACGGCTGTGACTGTTTCCTTTCCGTGACGGTGGCGTCAGTATCTATATGAGGCATGTCAAACTGAACATTTACAGAGGGCCACCTCAGCCCTATAAATAATAGTCCAGGGCCCCACATCAAAATAGAAATATACCTTAGATTTCGATACAAGGAAATTTAATTCTATTTATTATTTAGGAATAATTTCAATACAATTACCTAAAGTCACATATCTTACAGTTTTAAAAAGCAAGAGAATGCCATTTTTGACAAGTATCAAACAGCTTTTCAATATGTAAAAAGAGAGATTACACAAGAAATTATGTTAGAAATAGCAAAACAATGAATTTCCTTCAGCCTGCTAATTTATGTCTGCGTGAGACTTCTTGTCTTCTGGTTTGTTGGAAAATTGTCTTTACAAAAAAAATATTTCTACTAAAAATTGATTTTAATATCAATTAGCTCTAAAAGTTGAGGGGCCGCATGTTTGACACGGCTGATCTAGACCTTACAGTACAGTGTCTAATGGTGGAATGATTCATGAACTGGAGACAATTTGGTGGGAAGCGATCATGGGCTGGTTGAGGTATTTGCCTTGAGGTACTGAGGAATACCAAAAAGACCTCAGTCAGGATAGCCGACATCACGGACGAGATTCGAACTGAGAACCCCCCGGGTATGAGTTACAGCTATATCAGTCCGCTATATGATGATGGCTTTCCGGTATATATGTGACGCCATGCAATCTGGTAGATGGTTAATTTCTGAGGAAACTGCTGTTTGTGTTTTGAGGGAGAATATAGAGGCTGCATGTTCTTTCGAAACGTCATATGTTCATCGGACCAAACGGCGTCACATTTCAGAAGAATGGTGCTTTGGGAGACTGGGTGCAACGCTGTGGGCTGGGTTTAGTCACACCAGAGAAGGGCGGGAATCACTCTCTTTATAATTCGTACACTTCTCGATCTTTGTTAGATCGATGAAGAATACAGGGACCTGATTCTCCAGGTTCGGGTTTGGACACAAGACTGACGGCTTTTATGGTATGCATCTTATTGTGTGTCATAAAAAAGGTAAAATTGTCCCTGTGCTTAACTAATTAAGCACTACGCCATGAAGGCGTATGGAGGAGTGGATGTATAGATTCATATTTTCTTGATGTCGGCAGTACTTGGAGGTGAGTGGTCAGCTTCACGCCACGGCCGCTTTACCGCCGGAGAAAGAGACCCGGTACCCATTGGATAGGAGGCTGGGTGGACCCCAGAGCCGGTCTGGACGACGTGGAGAAAAGAAAATTCTTGACACTACCGGAACTCGAACTGCGACCCCTAGGCCGTCCAGCCCGTAGCCAGTCGCTATACTGACTGCGCTATCCCGGCTCCTCACGCCCAGCCCGTAGCCAGTCGCTATACCGACTGCGCTATACCGACTGCGCTATCCCGGCTCCTCACGCTGAGCCCGTAGCCAGTCGCTATACTGACTGCGCTATCCCGGCTCCTCACGTTCAGCCCGTAGCCAGTCGCTATACTGACTGCGCTATCCCGGCTCGCTGTTGTGTGTGTTTTATCATACGAAAGATATATAATGGGACAGTCTACACAACAATAATTCTGAGAGACAAAATGAGCATTAATGTGTGAACATTTGTTTTATTAGCTGTTGGTGGTAACGCTACATGTTTCGACCCTTTTCTTGGGTCATCTTCAGGCCTTCAAGAAATCTGGTACTATTTCTAGAATTGCGTTATTAATTAGTATGAATTTATATTGTGTTTGTATGAATTTTTCGACTAACAAATACACTTTAATTTAAGTGTAGTTCACATATAGTTTAAAACTTGCCGTTATAATTTGACATTAAAAAGATAAAAGTTAAAATTAGAATTAAAATTGCTCTATTAAGCAATTATAACTTTTATTTTACGTCTCATTTCAGACTTTGTGACCGCTACGTGTCCGTATATGTGTTGTTTGGTTGATCCACTGTGGTAGTGATAGTTGTGATGGGGGGGGGGGACTGCGTACTGGGAACTTCCCTTTGAATCTTGCTCTGCGAAAAAGAAATATTGTTGCAAAATCCAAAGAAGTGAAAACCCGACACAATCTCACGGAATTTTCCAAAGAAGGTTATGGCTCATAAAGGGCTGTTTTGTCAATGATGATGACAAAGGTAAGGTAAAAATTTCCTTGTGTTTGACTAATTAAGCACTACGCCATGAAGGCGTATGGAGGAATGGATGTATAGATCCATATTTTCTTGACCTCGGCACTAGTTGAAGGTGAGTGGTCAGCTTCATGCCTCGGCCGCTTTACCCCTTGGGAAAGAGCACTCGGTACCCATTGCAAAGGAGTCGGTGTGGGCCCCAAAGCCGGTCTGGACATCGTGGAGAAGAGAAAATTCTTGACCCTACCGGGACTCGAACTCCGACCCCTTGGTCGCCCAGCTTGTAGCCTGTCGCTATACTGTACTATCCCAGCTCCCTCATGATGATGATGCTGATGACGAAAATTATAAAGGATTTTGTTATTTAATTCTCTGCAGTCTCCTGTTATGTTCCCCTCTCTGAGATCCAAACGTCATGAACATTGCTGTGAGAACACGTTAAATCTTAGTTTATCTCTTGGGATGAGATATCAAACTTGACACAGAATTAAAAAAAAACATGCAAAAATTGCAATTTTGTTTATTTTAATCTTCAGATTTCTCAATGGGATTTGGGAACATATAAGATTCTGATATTAATGGTACCGAGTACTTTTCTAATTTAATCTCTTGTTAAAATACGTAAGCTTGAATATAATTTGTCGGTCTCAAACATTTGAAGTCCTTCAAGTAACCCACTGTCACTTGCTCAGCAAGTGAGTCGTCCTGTGCTCACCTGTATGACGCCTCCCCCTGTGCTGCTCACCCGAGTGTGGAGGAACTCCTCAGGCAGACCGATCATTTTTCCTAGCCAGTTCATCACCACAGTTTCCAGTTCAGTGCACGCCGGGCTGGACGCCTGGAAACAACAGATGCGCATTTCATAGTTCCAGGGTTACTTCGGAATTCCATTCCTTCTTTAATGTAATGAAAAGCCAGTTTTGTTCTCTCTCATCTCATAGATGTATGTAAAACTTTTCAAGCGTTCTGCCTATGTAGTCCGCTGAAGGTCAACCGATGTTTCATACGAACGTGTTACCACCTTCAGGATCGGAGGAGGAACCAAGAAACAAACCAACCATAAGGAGGTGGCAAGCAGAGACAAATACAAACGCGTTAAACAGTCTCCCCAACAAAATCGCCTTAAAAGTAAGTGAGGTAAAGCCCCTGTGCTTAAATAATTAAGCACTAGGCCATGGAGATATGTGAGAATGGAGGTATAGATCCACATTTTCTTGACCTCGGCTCTAGATGGAGTTGAGTGATCAGCTTCACGCTCCGGCTACTTTATCCCCGAGGAAAGAGCCCCCGTTAGCTTTTGGATAGGAGGGTGGGTGAGCCCAAGAATCGGTCTGGACGAAATGGAGGAGAAACAATTCTTGACTCTACCGGGACTCCAACTCCGACCCCTCCATCGTTCGCCCCGTAGGCAGTCGCTGTACAGACTGCGCTGCCCCGGGTCTCTCTTAGAGGTAAGTTTATAAGTAATTTCTCTTGATGTCACCTGCCTTGAAAAAAAAAACGCTTTCTATTTCATTGATACTGGTTTCTTTCCTCTTTTATTTTTCTACTCTGAAGATGGAGGCAATATATCCTTCCGATTTTCAACGTTATATCCCAGGAGATAAAACTCTTCATAACCACGGCTGTGAGAACTTCAAATCTTACAAAACTTTTCAAATTTCGTTTAGTTATTCAATCCAGTGCTCGTGTTAGAAGCTGTTTCTTAACACATTACAAGACGATCCAAGGTAACACTGTTGGTGAATACAAGGAATTGGCGGTAAGGACAGTGTTAGATGGCCTCGTGTAAAGACAAATTGTGAATTGAATCATTCACGTTCGGATGTTGTGCTAATAGACCCAACACAGTGGGGTTCATAATTCTTCCTGATGACTGTAGGACGGCCAGCTTCCTAAACCCTTATCTAAGAATAAAATGATGGAAAATGTCAAGCACATATGTCACTTTAACTCACCTTCGTTGCCGACCTTCAGACGTATCTGTGTGCTCTCTTTGCTAAAAAATTTTATGATATTTCTGTCCCAGAGAAGCATGGGTATTGCCAAGATTGTTTCCAGAAGGGGGGCGGGGGGTCCAGAGAATTTGCTTACACGCTTGCCGTTAAGGCGGTTTTGTTGAGGAGTTTGTTCACTTTTTTGCATTCAGGACAGAAAAATTATATGTTACTGTCTCGTCACCAAAATGCAGGGCAAAATCATGACATAAAGATAGGAAACAGGTGTTTTGAAAATGTGGCACAGTTCAGATATTTTGGAACAACGATAACAGATCGAAACCTGATTCAGGAGGAAATTAAGAGGTGATTGAACTCGGGTAATGCTTGCTACCATTCAGTCCTGAACCTTTTGTCTTCCCGTCTGCTGTCCAAAAACACAAAAATCAGAATATACAAAACTATAATTTTGCCTGTGGTTCTGTATGGGTGTGAAACTTGGTCTCTGACATTAAGGAAGGAACACAGACTGAGGGTGTTTGAGAACAGGGTGTTGAGGAGAATATTTGGACCAAAGAGAGATGAAGCGGCAGGAGGCTGGAGAAAACTGCACAATGAGGAGCTTCATAATGTGTACTCTTCTCCAAGTATAATTAGAATGATCAGGTCAAGGAGGATGAGGTGGGCAAGGCATGTAGCACGAATGGGGAGACGAGGAATGCGTATAGGATATTGATGGGAAAGCCAGAAGGAAAGAGACCACAGGGAAGACCAAGGCGTAGGTGGGTGGACAATATCAGAATGGATCTTAGAGAGATAGGATGGGATGGTATGGATTGGATAGATCTGGCTCAGGATAGGGACCAGTGGAGGGCTCTTGTGAACACGATGATGAACCTTCGGGTTCCATAAAATGCTGGGAAATTCTTGAGTAGCTGCAGAATTGGCGGCTCCTCAAGAAGGGCTCAGCTCCATGAGTAAGTAAGTAAGTAACTGTAATTTTTATAAATACGTATTTGCTGCATTTCCCCATTTCTGAATTTCGATTCCTTAGAAAGAATCCAGGGAGGAGGATGCTTTTCTTCCCTTTCCCACCCAACCCCTCACCTGTGGGTAGAAGGAGGGGCAATGCAGTGAAGATAGGGACACTGTAAAGGTTTTAAATTTGGGTGTGAAGTAAAGTTAAATCTTAATTTCAAACAGTAGCACAGTGCGTCCTTATTTTACGCCAATTTTAAATAGTAAAATGTAGTAATGTTCCTGGCTTAATTGATTAAGAACTATTTTTTTACCTCGGCACTACGGCCCCAGTGGGCCTAGGCCTACATCCATGAACTTCTCCGTTCACTTCGATTTTTCTATATCTTAGACATTCGGTAGGACTCCTTGGGCGGGTGATCAGCTCGTCGCAAGGCCTCTACCCGTACACAAACACAGAAAAACACACACACACACACACACTAAACATCCATGCCCTGAGTGGGATTGGAACCCACGATCCCGGCTTCCGGACGAGCGAAGACAGTGCATGCCTTAGACCGCTCGACTACCGTGACCGGCGATTAAGAACTATACCATGATGACATTTAGGGGAGGGGAGGTATAGCTTCAGCTGTCTTGGCTTCGGCTCTAGTTGGAGATCAGCGGTCATCTTCATAACCTTGCATCTTAACCCCCGGGGGATAGAGCCCCCGGTACCTATTGGATATGAGGCTGAGTGAGCCCCAGGGCTGGTCAGGATGTTATGGAGAAGAGAGTACTCTTGTCCTTATCAGGAATCGAACTCCGGCTGTGTAGTCTACAGTCCTTCACTATACCGACTGAGCTATCCCAGCAGTGCAAGATTTTTCTCTTCTCCTTGTCCAGACCGGCTCTGGGGCCCACTCAGCCTCTTATTCAGTGGGTTCCGGGGGTAAAGCGGCAGGGGCGTGAAGCTGACTACTCGCCTCCAACTAGTGCCGAGGTCAGGAATACGCGGATCTATACATCCGCCCCCCCCCATATGTCTTCATGGCGTAGGGCTTTATTAGTTAAGCACAGGAACAACTTTATCTTTACCAACTAAGGCCCTATGAGGTAATTTTAATTATTACAGTGGGATATTGGTAGCACTGCATGGTCGCGGGAAGTTTCCTCATAGGAGAATTGTTGCATAAGGTACATAGTTGCTTGTGGATTCGCGGTTCCTCTGTGCGGTAACAAATTTTCGTGCTTTTGTGTGATTAAAAACATATAGTACGTATATAAGCTGTAGTGTTTGAAATCATGTTCGATATGAAATAATGCACTGCATTTATAGAAAGAATATTAAATATACACTACATTAATTAGAGAATAAGGTTAGTTTCATCTTTAATGCCTATAGATGGAAGCACCTACCGACGTAGTATTAGCTCAGTGCGGAGTCCGCGCTCTCCTGTGGGAAAGCTAGCATGCATATATTCTCACGCAATTTCTAACGCATTCCACACTGTGTATTTTACTTCTATCAGTGACACATGTGGTTATGTTCTTTACCGCAATAAAATATTTTGTGCATTTAATGAAACTAAACTCCAGATTACTGTCTTCGCTCGCTCGGAAGCCGAGATCGTGGGTTCGAATCCCACTCAGGTCATGGATGTTTGTGTGCGTTTTTCTGTGTTTGTGTACAGGTAGAGGCCTTGCGACGAGCTGATCACCCGCCCAAGGAGTCCTACCGAATGTGTAAGATCTAGAAAAACCGAAGTGAACGGAGAAGTTCATGGAGGTAGGCCTAGGCCCACTGGGGCTGTAGTGCCAAGGAAAAAAAACCCCAAATTAAAATGAATTCAAGGTCATCATGTAAAGTGTCCGTTATTATTTTTCGATTCAATCAAAACGTGAAGACAAGTGTCGTTAGAACTCAGTTAACATCCTCTAAATGTGTAATGCTTATAGACAGGAGAACAGACGGACAAAGGAAATTCAATGGGCGAACCTCAACAGTGTGACAATGACTCCTCCCTCCGAAAAATACATTGCACAGTCTAGAGCCGTTCACAGTCAATGGCTCGGTAAACACGTTCCGGGAAACGGATACGCATGCAGCAGTAAAGGTACTGTTGGAAACGGTGTGTTCTACTCGGTCCGTGCAAGGGTGTTATAAGGAGGACAACTGAAGCAAGAATAGACAGAAGCACCCCTTGTGGAGGAGGGTTCGAATACCTCCACCGTAGCCCTGCGAGTCGTAGGAGGCGACGAAAACGGAACCCAGTGCCTGGGGGTATAACTGGGCCACCCTGTTCCTGGGGGATATAAATACGGAGACCTGGCCCTCCAGGTTGGGGGAGTCTGAAATTTGAGGCAGTAATATATGGTCATGGGTCCCGCGGGACTTGGACCCGAGAATGACTACTGGAAGACCAGCAGCAATTGTAAGCGACAGACCCATCCTCTCGTCAGGGAGGATGTTAAACGTCGTGACGTCCGTTGTAGAAACAAATAAGAGAGGCGAATGCTACGCTTTCTTCTGGCTCCAATGCAGACAAAAAACTACACGCCGCATTCTGCTACTGTGTAGTGTCCTCAGCAATGTCCATCATAAAGTACGTTCGTTACAACGGACGCATTTTGCGCGCTCGTGTGGCCCCAGCCTAAGGACTATTAGTGCAAGCTTTCAGTTGAAATAAATGCTTGTCGCCAAGACGAACTGATTGGCGGTAAACCGCCAGTCGTAAAGTAACTCTGACTCTGAAGGCCGCGCCATAGCTCAAGCGGTTAGTCGCTGGCTTCTCATCGCGGCGGCCCGGGTTCGATCTCGGGCCTGGTCAAGTGGGATTTGTGGTGGACAAACTGGCGCTGGGGCGGGTTTTCTCCGAGTACTTCGGTTTCCCCTGCCAATCTTCATTCCACCAAATTCTCCATCATCATAATCACCCGGGGCACGCTACAATAGGCCAATTATTGGCAGCCGTGCCGAGTGGACCCAGTTGGACTCCACCCCCCACTAAGCGAAAAAAAAATTATCTCTGGTTCTGAAGAATAGGCAGTTGGGAGGGAGCCGCCGTTCAGAGAGGACTTGAACCCAGAAGCAGAGGAATAGAAACCGTTACCAAGCAACTACTAGTGAAAACACTGCGGGCTGGAAAAGACAGCGTGATTTTGTAAAGTGTGGAAATAGCGTATTTAGTAGTGGTCAGTAAGTCCAACATCGAATCCAAAACCCCGTATATAGTCGCACCTTGGTACGTGACAATATGATTTAGGCCAAGTTGTAACGAAAATTACTACCATTTTGTGGACCAAGAATATTATATCCTGGTTTTCACATCATTAGCAGTAGTAGTAGTAGCAGCAGCAATACTTACCCAAGTGAACCCCAGACAGTTAATGGCATCAGCCAGCATGTCTCCCAGAAGAGACGGGAACGAGTTGAGTGCGGGAAAGTAGGCGTGCATATGCGGGCTCTGCCAGTGGGTCACCTGGAACATGTGTCAGTAGGTGTACAAGTAATGATACAACGTGAACTCAAGATGACCAACGAAATTTTTACACAAATCTCTCGTAATTATTGTAGCAAAATATTTTAATAGTACTTTATAATCTACCGGTGCATGAGGAAGTTCATTTATGACCATAAATAGTTTCTGAAGTAGGTTTGCATATGAAACAATACGGTTTGTACTAAATACGGCCAACTAACATTATACATAGATGTCTCATATCGAATTTTGCTCAGATTTTGTCAACAGATTGGGACATGTGGTAGCGTAGTTGGTTGAGGCACTATGCTACCAACAGGAAGGTCGCGAGTTCGATTCCTGTTGAGGTCATTGGATTTTTAAATTGACCTAATCCTCCCAGCCGCACTGTGGCCCTGAGGTCGATTCAGCCTCTAACAGAAATGAGTATCAGGAATCTTCCTTGGGGCTAAAGGGCGGCCGGCACGTAAGGCTGACAACCTCACCGCCATCTGTGTGCCGATTGTCTAAAAAATGTGGGGACCTCGATGTCTCACAACCCTATGGACCTCCACACCCGGTTACAGGGACGGGTAAGGTAAAGTTGTCCCTGTGCTTAACTAATTAAGCACTACGCTATGAAGGTACATGGGGGAGTGGGTGTATAGAGCCACAGTTTCTTGACCTCGGCACTAGTTGGAGATGAGCGGTCATCTTCAGGCCCCGGCCGCTTTGCTCCCGGGAAAAAACCTCCGGCACCCATTGTATATGAGGTTGGGTGGACCCCAGAGCCGGTCTGGACGACGTGGAGGAGAGAAAATTGTTGACCCTACCGGGACTCGAACTCCGACATCTTGGATAACTTAACCTTTTTACCTTTCACTCTGCATGGAAATGTTATGTGAAGATGGGACAGACCAATAACCATCTGTTGTTTGTGACTTACCCCAGGCATGACTACTCGCTCGACGTCTGCAATGATGTCATCCCAGGACTCCGGTTCAAGGGGAGCGCTCTCCGGTATGAGTTGCCGCAAGTAGCCGGGCGCTACAGCCGGGTACACTCGCCTCTCTCTGATGTGCTCCAGGTAATCTGCGATGTAGTCGACCATCTCCTTACCTTTCAACATGCATCACAGCTATCAATCCTACCGTGCTTTCCTTCACGCGCTCTCATTAATAACGTTTGAACCAAATGGTGGGATCTTTCTATTCTGTTTTTCATTTTGTAGGTCATATAACGGGGCACGCGGTAGCGTAGTTGGTTGAGGCACTATGCTATAACCTGGAAGGTCTCGGGTTCGATTTCTAATGAAATAATTAACCCAATCTTTCTAGCTTCAGTATGGCCCCGAGGTCGACTCAGCTTATAACAGAAATGAGTACCAGGAATCTTCCTGGGGGCTAAAGGGTGGCCGGAGCGTAAGGCTGACAACCCACCGCCATCTGTGAGCCGATTGTCTAGAAATTGTGGGAGCCTCGACGTCTCTCAACCCTATGGATCTTCACGGTCTGTTACAGGGATACCTTTACTTTTACCCTTTAAGTTATTTAACGATGCGTACAGTATGAGATGACGAGCCGGGGTAGCGCAGTCTGTATAGCGACTGACTACGGGCTGGACGACTGAGGGGTTGGAGTTCGAGTCCTTGTAGGGTCAAGAATTTTCACTTCTCCAAATTGTTCAGACCGGCTCTGGGGTCCACCCAACCTCTTATCCAATGGGCACCGGAGGTAAAGCGACAGGAGCGTGAAGCTGACCACTCACCTCCAGCTAGTTCCGTGGTCAAAAAAATGTGGATCTCTACATCCACTTCCCCATACACCTTCATGGTGTATTGCTTAATTCGTTGAGCACAGGAACAGCTTTACCTTATCTTACAGTGTCGGATCTCTGAATGTAGCGTTGGATGGTAGCGTGATAAATTGGAAACGATTTGGTAGGAAACGGCCGTGGTCTAATCGAGGTACCAGCCCGGAATTTGCCTGAGGGGACTGAGGAAACCCACGATGAATAGCTAAGTTCCGGCCGAGATTTGAATCGATTTGTAGCTCTACACCAATGTGTTCGGTCCTACTTCCGTAAACATTACTAAGAACATGGTAGAATACCATTAAAAGCCACTTTATACTATATAGTTTCATTTCCAGTCATCAGCAACATTAGACGTAACAACACTATCATTGGTCAATACGAACTTGCCAAGCCGTTTTACAGTTTACGTTACGGCAAAACGGAGAATTCCTAAGTTCCTTAACAAAAGAAAAATGTAACCATACAGTAGATCTGCGGTTAAGTGTTCCCTGGTCCCATCTGCGTGTGACGTAGCATTCCCTAACTCGGATAGGAGAATGTAGCACTGTTGTCAGATCATTTTAATTCCAAATGTCGGCGTGTGCAAGTGCAATCATTTGTAACTTAACTCTGTGACTTTAGTCCGCAGGCGAATTATACCGACCGAGCGACCGCCGCTTGTCGGCGAAGTTAGTGCCAAATTTAGCAGATAGAGCGTGTCGCGTGGTCAGCGCAACGAATCCCCACAGCTATTTGTAAGTCAAATTAAATATCAAAAATATCTCATGTACTCAGATATATAACTGCTTTTGCAAAAATCAAAATTGCGGGCACTTGTCACTTTTGCGTTTAAGAAGTGTGAGTTTGCTTATATATTGTCTCTGGGTTAATATTCATATTATAAAAGATCGTGATTACTGCCTTGAATTCTTACCCCCGTATTCTAATTTGAATTCTGAAGTCATCACAAAATCTTTAGCCTTGGATGGGTAATAAGAAGGGAAGTAGAGTGTTAACCGCCTTCTCTTCGTATTATGGCCGTTATTAGAACCCCCATGTTCTACCAGGAAGTCAGTTGTCTCACAAATGACGTGTGTCATATTAAAGTGTATAACAATGTAGGAGCGAGGGTATCATAGTGTGTTCTAAATTTTCACATGCCATTTCATCTGGATATTTTTAAATTAATTTAGTATTCAAGACGTAGGTGGGTGGACAATATTAAAATGGATCTCAGAGAGATAGGATTGGATGGTATAGATTGGATTGATCTGGCTCAAGATAGGGGCCAGTGGAGGTCTCTTGTGAACACGGTACTGAAACTTCGGATTCTATAAAATTCTGAGAAGTTCTTGAGTAGCTGCACAATTGACAGCTTCTCAAGAAAGCCTCAGCTACATGAGTGAGTGAGTGAGTGAGTGAGTGAATGAGTGAGTAGGTATTCATTTAAAGATAGTATTCGATATGAACAAAAATGAATTATGAGCCAAAATTTTAATAATAATTAACAGCGTAAGTTTTTAAAAGCGTTTTCTCTAAGTGTCTCCTACATACCTGTAGGTGTCGACTGAAAATAAGCTGCAACTTAGGACTGCATATTGTAAGGGCCCCGAAGAAGTAAGAGAATATAAAGTCTGTTTGTATACTATTTAAAGCCAACTTGCTCCTATATATATGACACGGCTTTAACATGGAAGACGTGGCACTTTTCTCGCAGAGTATCTTTGTGTGTTCCCTAAGATTCCCAGAATAAACGGCGATTATTTTTTTAATGTTTGCGCTGCAAATAAGAGACCAGAGGTTATTAAGGTATATGTTAAAGAGACATGTATATGTGTTTATTTTCCTGTACATGTTTTAATGGAACTAATGAAATGGAGAAAATACTACGAATTTTTTACAACTTACAGTAATATTATTATACTGTACGAACGCTAGGAGAGCTGGGCCCGTTAGCTCAGTTGGTTAGAGCGTCGTGCTAATAACGCGAAGGTCGTGGGTTCGATCCCCCCACGGGCCACTTTTTTTAAACATTCAAAATTTTTTTTTTGTTAAGAGATGACACTGTGACTTAGAACATTTCATCATATATTTTATACATACATATATTTAAAGCAGATATTCATATCATACAGATTAATGCATAATAAATGTTAACTATTGCACAGGTTTGCAAAAAAATTATTTTTTCAGCTGCATGGAATATTTTTGGTAAACTTTATGTTTTCTAGGATGCTGAATCCAAAAATGACCTCAATTTCCCCCTATCACGTAAGGTTTTTTGGAAAATAATAGGGGTTTACAATAAAAAATCATAACAGTGATGAAAAAAAATCACTAATTTTATTACATTGAACTAAACATATTATTTCTCATAATTAAAAAACAATTCCTTCACGATATATTTAACATTCTGTGTTCAGTCTTTTTGCCTGTGAAACCTTCTCTTCTTCTCGCTGATGCGTCTCCGAACGCGCTTTCGCTTTCCATTTTCCGTTTCCCGCTTGATCACCCAGCAGCAGTCAGCTAGCCAATTCGCATTCCATCTTCCTTGGTAGCCTCTTTCGATATGACGGACATCCTGGTGAAACCGTTCACCCTGCTCTTCACTGTAGGCTCCCAAGTTTTGGGGAAAATAGTCGACATGGGAGTGTAAGAAATGAACTTTTAAGCTCATCTTGCAACCTTGAGCTTTATATGCAGCCAACATGCGTTGTACACTGGGTTTGTAGAGAGGGTCTTTAGTGTTCCCCCAAAACTTGTGCACTACGTCTTTGAAGGAGTCCCATGCTTCTTTTTCTTTTTCTCCCATTTCCTTCTTTGGAGAAAAACTGAGCGAATTCCTTCTCTCGGTGCCTGTACCACGAGAATGATGTTCCAGGTGACAGCAAGTTTTTATGTTTTAGTCTGACCCTAGCAATTCGGCTGCATCTTTGGAAAGGCCTAAATCTATAACTAAGTCATTGAGCTCACTCTGAGAAAAAGGTTGGGGTCCCTCATCAACAGATAAATCTGAGCTGGATTCATCCTGGGGTGGTAATATAGTTTTGTCCTCCGAATCACTCTGTATATCAGCCAAACTGGAAGGTGGGAGGGGAACTGGTATTTCAGAGCTATGAGGCACTGGACGAATAGCTGAATTAAGGTTTGGGTAAGATATTTTCTTTTTATTTTTTGTATTAAAGCCTTTCACATCTACCGAACAGAAATAACAATCAGTCGTGTGGTTTTGCTGTTCACGCCACATCACAGGAATGCCAAAACGAAATGAGTTTTTCTTACCCTTAAACCACAAACGAAGATCTTCCTCGCACCTTCTGCACACCTTGTGAGGAGCCCAAGGTTTGTCTTGATCCCCAAGTTTCAATTTGAAATAAGCAAAATACACTTTCTTCACAAAATCACTTATGTTTCTTTGTTGACTTTTAACTATGTATTCACCACAAATAAAACAAAAGTTGTCCGGAGAAACAACACAACCTCTTTGAGCCATAATACAGAGCTAAAACACAAGCACAGTCACGTTTGAATGCAGGATGTAAACTGAGTGGCTTATACATCAACCAAGATCCTGAACTTATTTAGCATGTTGAGACATGATCATATCTGACAGCAGGCTTGTTTATACTCATTCCTATTGCCCCAAAGAACATGTCCAAACATGCTCAACCGAGCTAGTAAGATTCCTCACCTTTCGCTACAAACAAAGTAAACGTGTTGAGACATGATCGCCAGAGCTCCTCACACTGCCAAACCCACCCTACCAACCCCTTCCACTCCCCCCCATCCCACCCATTTTCTATTTGTATTATTTTTTAGATTCACTCTTATAAATATTATTTTAAAGTAAGAAATAATTATTGGATATGGTCTTTAGAATCAACAATAGGATACAAGATTTCATGTTGAAGAGAAATTTCACGCAAAATTAAACTAAAAATATGAGTTTTGCAAAAAAATTGACGTGGATTTTTTTTTTACTATTATTTCCGGTTTTAGTGAGTAAAAATCTATAAGAAACAGTAAAAATATCCTATGCAGTTTTTTGGTTGCAGACCTGTGTTATTAGCAAACTTTTTACACATGTATATATTATTGCATAAAATATGTTTTATCGACTTACACTTTCTTTCTGTTTTGCCTCGCAAATATTATACTTGAAGGTAACTAATAATTTCTTCGAAAAGGACCAACAAATTGATTAGATTATTTCGCTATGGGCTTGTTGAAAGCGCTTTCATTATGATCCTCGGTTTGAATGGTAAAGCAGATGGTACATACACTAAAAGCCACGTGAGGGTAAGAATGAAATATGAATCTGTGATGGGGGTGAGTATCTTGGACGTCGTAATGAAGGGATGATGTGACCAGCATGAGTTTGCCTCTCGTGGAGGAAATTGTGGACTCTGCTGAAAATTGGTTGCGGGTCCAGCTGGGACCTGTTGCGGGGTTGTGAATGAGGGGTCAGCTGACATTCCCCGTTACCAGCAGTGCAAAAGAAGGGGGCATTATATCAATGCCCAGAATAGTTGGCCATGGATCTGCGACCTCTGCCTCTGCATAGGCAGAGTCGAGGATTACTGAGAGGGCCCTTGTCTCCAGCCTAGCAACTCTGGGATACTCAATGGAGCCCCCCCTTCCATTCCGAAGGTTTACCTGCATCATGGAGTGGAGACCTTTCTGAAAACTGTTAATTGGAGGCGAGTTGCAATACCTCCACCGTAGCCATGCGAGTCATAGAAGGCGAAAAAGGAACTCCTCTGCCTGTGCCTATAACTGGGTCCTTCTGCCACTGGGGGACAGATTCAGAGACCTGGTCCTTCAGACTGGGGTTCGAACGCAAGGCTGGCGAACTTATGTAAAGGCAATGTTGTCCCTATGCTTAACTAATTAAGCAATAAGCCATGAAGGCGTGTGGGGGAGTGGATGTATAGACCCATGTTTTCTTGACCGCGGCACTAGTTGGAGGTGAATGGTCAGCTTCACGACCCAGCCGCTTTACCTCCGGGGAGATAGCCCCGTACCCATTGGATAGGACGTTGGGTGCACGACTTGGAGAAAAGAAAATTCTTGGCCCTACAGGGACTCGAACTCCGACTCGTCCAACCAATAGCCAGTCGCTATACCGACTGCGCTATCCCGGGTCACCTTGCTCTGTTAAAAGAAATGTTGCGGAATAGAAAGAAGTGAAAACCAGATGTTCTAATTCAAGACAGACCTGGCAGAATGTTCTAAGGAAGGCTGCGGCTCCAAAAGGGCTGACTTGCCGGTGGTTGCAATTATCTCTCAGCTGGGTAAGAAGTTGCCCTCCTTTGGCAGAATATTGCAGTATTATTCTCCGATTAGCGTCTGATGTTTTACTACATATATACTTTTCTAAATCTCCCCCTGCGAAACGTATGTTCCCTCATTTCATGAGCCTCGACCCCTTTCTTATTTCCTCTCTTAGGTAAAAGTGAAAGTTGTCCATGTGCTCAATTAGTTAAGCGCTATGCGACGAAGATATGTGGGGGAGTGGAGGTATAGCTCCACTTTTTCTGACCTCGGCACTAGACGGAAGCGAGCGGTGAGCTCCACGCCTTGCCGATATACCCCCCTCCCCCGGGGAAAGAGCCTCAGGTACCTGCTGGATATGAGGCATAAATTAAATGGCATAATTTCAGAAGTATTCCAAATTCAGTCGAGTATGGATTTTATGTAAAATTGCTGTACTTCTTAGGAAAAACATGTAAACACAATTAGAACTATCACAACACCAAAACAGATTATAGCATACAAGAAAATAATGAGGATTAATTAAGGGAGATCACTTAAGAAATATGTAGTGATTAGTCTACGGACTAGGTGACCGAGAAATGAGGGTTCGATTCCGGATTCCACCGCGTCTAGTCCGGCCATTGAGGCCTATCCAGTGGATACCAGGGGATCTTTGCACAGAGGTGAAGTTGCTGAGTAGGGAAGTACACCTCTCACATCTAGTATTGAGGTTAAGAATGCATGGAGTTACACCTCCACTCCCACATACGACATTATGGCGTGATGTATTAAGTGACAAAGAAAATTTACCTTTTACGGAATATATACCGCGCAGGATGATAGCAAGGTTTATTGTGCCATGTGTATTTCGACGTCGTTTGAAGGAAGTCGGTTAAATGTGCGATATCACTGGAGCGGAGACGCCTGCGAACGTCCAGGAGGATGTGCTTATTGTCTGATCGGAAACAGTTTAGAGTTTCATTAGATTTTATGAAGGCTATATACAGAGTTCTTCAATCACTCCAGCGAGACGGAAAACAATCTCTGCGTCTGGCAAATTTAACTTTATTGTCATTTAGAACTGTGGCCAATTCCTTTACTGCCTTCAGATGCTATTTTACTGTTGTGTGTGAGTTGCTACTGCACGTCGAATCTAGGGTAAACCTATGCCACACATCTACATTGAAAAAAGTAGCCGTAATATCAAAAAATATTTTATGATTTTTCAGTATTTTTGTTTCATGTTTCATAAATTTTATTTGCCGCAAAATTCATTTGTCTTCAGTGAAAGGATGGGTACTCCTGCAGAGAATATAACAGACCGTCGAGGCTCATAGGGTTGTGAGACTTCGAGACTCCAATATTTTTTAGAAAATAGGCTCACAGATGGCGGTGAGGTTGTCAGCCTTATGCGCTGGCCGCCCTTTACCCCGCAGGAAGATTTCTGGTACTCATTTCTGTTAGTGGCTGAGTCCACCCCAGGGCCATAGTGAGGCTGGAAGGAGTAGGTCAAGTCCCATGATCTCATCAGGAATCGAGTATCTGGTTTGTCTTCACTACCGCGCGCCCCCTTCCAGCGAATGTGAGGGTAAAATGTGGGCATGAATAAATTAGGCGGCTTTTCTGCAGAACAGAGAAAGAACAATAAGGAAATTCTTTGTTAACCCGGTTTAATGTAACTTAACTGAAAATAGTTGGACGAATGTTTCCTTTTCCTTCTTCTCGTAATATCATCTAATATCGGGAGTGGGAGGCCTCCCGCAAGGATGGATTTCACATAGCTTATTTCATATACCGCCTCTGTGGTCTAGTGGTCAGAGTTCCTGGCTACAGATCCTGAAGTCCCGGATTCGATACCCGGCGCTACAAGATTTTCTGAGAAGTAGTGGGTCTGGAACGGGGTCCATTCAGCCTCGTCAGGATAAGTGAGGAGCTATTTCAAGGAAATAACGGCTCCGGTCTAGAAAACCGAGATTAACGGGCGTGGGGATTCATTGCGCTTACCACGCAACATCCTCTATCCGCTAAAGTTGGCACTAACTTCGCCACCAATTGGCAGTCGCTCGGTCGGTATAGTTCGTTTGCTGGCTCAAGCCACGGAGTATTTTTTTGTCTGTGGCGTCTGAAGGTGAACCTCCTGTTTTTCTGCGCTGGGATATTCAGATCTCTTCAATTGAGAACTAGTTATTTAAGATATTTCAGAATAAGTACCCCAGAATCACGACAAAATTTGTGTGTGAATATATACATATACCTTGCCCGATAAGTGAACATTTTTTTTCTTTCATGCGGTAATATTTCACACCGTTCATAGTGATTAATGCTACTCAGACGGATGTACGTACCACAGCTATCAGGGTACGTTAGTGAGCTGTTGAATCTGCAAGAAAATGCTTGCACACTTCCAAACACTCAGCTACTCCTCCATCAGACTCGTTCAAGAAAAAGTAAACTTACCTCAACTGACTGAGCATTTGCAATAACCTTACCACTCGACAGTATACAGCTTGTTAAGGAACCAGGACCCAGGCTAGACTTTCGTGGTGGTCAGTCTCTTATCTTCACTAACTTCACAGATACTTAATTCCCTCCAGAGGGCTGAGCCCTTCTTGAGAAACCGCCAATTGTGCAGCTACTCAAGAACTTCCCAGCATTATGGAACCCGAAGGTTCATCACCGTGTTCACAAGAGCCCTCCATTAGCCCCTATCCTGAGCCAGATCGATCCAGTCCATACCATCCAATACTATGTCTCTAAGATCCATTTTAATATTATCCACCCAACTACGTCTTGATCTTCCTAGTGATTCTTTCATTCTGGCTTTCCCACCAATATCCTATACGCATTCCTCGTCTCCCCATTCGTGCTACATGCACTGCCCATATCATCCTCCTTAACTTAATTATACTCGTACTGGGCGAAGAGTACAAGTTATAAAGCTCCACATTATGCAGTTTTCTCCAACCTCCCATGACTTCATCTCTCTTCAGTCCAAATATTCTCCTCAACACCCTTTTCTCAAACATCCTCAGTCTAGGTTCCTCCCTTAATGTCAGAGACCAAGTTTCACAACCACACACAATCACACGCAAAATTATATTTTTATATATTCTAATTTTTATGTTTTTAGGCAGCAGACGAGAAGACAAAAGGTCCTGGACGAGAAAGTTTAATGTAATTTTTTACTTACCCCTTTTCCTGTATTCATTAAAATCCATATCAAGAGTGAATGTAGCACACAATTCTGAAAAAGAAACATTATTATTATAAGTAGTAGTATCAAAAAGGTCAAAGGTAAAGCTGTCCCTGTGCTTAACTAATTAAGCGCTATGCCATGAAGGCGCATGGAGGAGTGGCTTTATAAATCCACTTTTCCTTGACCACGGCACTAGTTGGAGGTGGTCAGCCTCACGTCCTGGCCACTTTACCCCCAGGAAAAGAGCCCCGGTCCCCATTGTCTAGGAGTCTAGATGGGCCTCAGTAGCGGTCCGGATGATGTGGAGAAGAGAACGTTCTTTTCCTTACAGGGACTCGAACTCCGACCACTCGGGTCGTCGAGCCCGTAGGCAGTCACTATATCAACTGAGCTGTTCCGGTTTCTAGCAGTAGTACATATACTTTAGACATTATTATTAATATTATTTCTATTAAGTGTACATTTGCATGTCGAATGCAGTGAGTGGACACTGCTTCCTGCCGTCAGACAGCTGTATGTATTCTCTCGCAACGGTGACTGAAGAGTTCTCTTTTCTGGGACGTTACGCCTTGTAGTCAGGGAAAGTCCACAGACTTTTCGGATGAACTTATCGCCTCCATCTTCATCGCCGAAATGTAAGCAATGCAAGAAACAGCAAGTATGGCTACTTCATGCTGATTTATTGTCTGGTTTATCTTCCGAAACGTCAAGTTAATGCTGACTACACGGCGTAATATCCAGGAGGACAGAATTCATCGCTTGTATGTATTATGAAACGGTATAAGCAAGCAGGAGTCATCCTGAAATCTGCTCAAATACACCAACTTTCAACTGAACGAAATGTGTTTATGTGATTAGGCTTCTGCTTCGTGGAAACAGCGAACATAGGATTAGACCTCTATTACCATATTAACCTGACTAATATTGCTGCTTAGGAAAGATGGGTTTCCTTGCGTGATGTTCCTTTCGGCTTATTCAGTATTCCTTCTTAATTTTCTCTAATGAAATCGTTGCCCTCCATTAGATTCGGAATGCCAGTCCATACATAAATATCAGAATGTCTATATGCGTCTTACCTTAGGTCACTTATGCGATATTAAGGAGATTCTTCTATTATTTTTTGAAACTACAAAAATAACTTTATTTCGGCGGAATATGGCACAACTCTTAGTTACTGCAACGTGTAGAGGTCTCTAAATATCGTCAGTTAGACATGTGTGAAATACAGACCTTATGCTGCGCTGTACTGTACTGCACTGCATCAGACAAGGCCTGTTTACAACATGCATCAGCTTACCCGCTCGCACGTCACAGTTTTGTATGGCTTCTCCACGTTGTAAGTAGTTTCGACTTAACTTCCGTGAAAAGCTCAACGCTCCTCGCAGTCTGTTTGTTCCTGATTAGTCGATGTGTGTTTCTAGCTCACTCTTAGGAAAATTGGTAGTGATTAGAGAAGGCTCACCATCATCGAATTGAGAAGTTTCATCGGCTAAGATTCATCCCCCGTTTCCTGGATCCTGCCCAGATTGAACTTAGTTTATAAATAAGGTTTATTCTCCCGTACGCGGTAGCGTAGTTGGTTGATATATTATGCGGGTACAAGTCCCGATGAGGCTATTGGGTTTTGAAAGTGACCTAATCCTTCCAGCCGCACTGTGGCCCTGGGGTCGACTCACCCTCTAAGAAAAATGAGTACCAGGAATCTTTCTGGGAGATAAAGGGCGGCCGGCGCTTAAGGCTGACAAATTCACCGCCATCTGTGAGCCGATTGTCTAGAGAAAATGTGGGAGCCTCGACGTCTCGCAACCCTATAGGCCTCCGTGGCCTGTTATAGGGACAGCTATTAGTACCATATGAAATCAGCGTAGAATACCATTAAATTACATAACCTTTATTACTGAACTTTTGTCGATCAGATAATTGTAATTGCCCGATATATTTTGCTGCTTATTAGATTGTCTTCAGTTCTTTTAGATAATAAAAGGAAGCATTGCATAATTATAAAGGGGATAGAATCCAAATCGGAAGTATTGAGAACTACATTATCCTTTTTTGAATTGTTTCATTTTGGTCCGTTACACTATCAATCACAAATTGTCAATGAAAAATCCGTCGAGTGTAACAATGTTTTAGGTCACTTATTTATCTCACTTGCCTTACAGGTTTCGGTTCAAGAGAAACCATCATCAGAGGCACGTATTACAAACACATGAAAACACTGGCGCTGCTTAACGTACACAGTATGTGAACTGCGTGGACGCTGTTACAGATGTCGAAGTGTAAAAGCACAACACTTTCTAGTAGCATTGAATGCACGTACAACTCTTGCATTCCATCTGAAAATTGCCCTCAAATTAAGCCGTCAATGTTAAAATATTTAAAAGTTTAAAACATTTAAAGTAAAATGTTAGGCTCCTTCTTGTTAATTCGTCCCGATGATGGGAGATGTCAACTTGAGGTTGTGTAGGCTTATGGCTTATGCTTATGCAGTACACAACACACAACGCGTAAGAAACATCCGACCATAAGCCTACACAACCTCAAGTTGACGCTTCCCATCATCGGGACGAATTAACAAGAAGGAGCCTAACATTTTACTTTAAATGTTTTAAACTTTTAAATATTTTAACATTGACGGCTTAATTTGAGGGCAATTTTCAGATGGAATGCAAGAGCTGTACGTGCATTCAATGCTACTAGAAAGTGTTGTGCTTTTACACTTCGACATCTGTAACAGCGTCCACGCAGTTTACATACTGTGTACGTTAAGCAGCGCCAGTGTTTTCATGTGTTTGTAATACGTGCCTCTGATGATGGTTTCTCTTGAACCGAAACCTGTAAGGCAAGTGAGATAAATAAGTGACCTAAATACATTGTTACACTCGACGGATTTTTCATTGACAATTTACATTATCCTAGTTCAAAAATAAATAAATACAATTATTAATATGTATAAAAATAAAGCTATGTCTGTATAACGCCGTGAAGGCCCATAGGGTTGTGAGACGTTGAGGTTCCCACATTTTCTCTAGAAAATCGGATCACAGATGGCGGTAAGGTTGTCAGCCTTACACGCTCGCCGCCCTTTATCGCCAGGAAAATTCCTGGTACTCATTTCTGTTGGAGGCTGAGTCCACCCCAAGGCCGTACAGCGGCTGGAAGGATTAGGTAAATTGAAATAATAGAATGACCTCATCGGGAATTGAACCCGCAATCTACAGGCTTGCAGCATAATCCCTCAACCAACTACGTTACCGCGTGTCCCGCAATTATTAATAAAAGAATAAAATCAGTGGCGTGTTTAATCCATATAATACTTACGTATATTTCCTTTTAATCTCTGAAAAAGCCATGAAAGTGGTCCAGTAGGAACTAAAACATGTCTGAGAATTAGAGGCATTTTATCAACAATAATTCAATAGAAGTGACATATAGTACTTTGGTAGTATTTTATGTTGATTTTATTAATTTAATTTAATAATATATGATTTAAGGAATTCGTACAATGTTTTGGCCAGAAAACCTGACGGGGAAGAATCCGCTTGAAGGACCTAGACATAGATAACAGGATAGTATTTACAAGTGTATTAGTGAATATTGGCGCGGGTTCTGGATTGAATGAACGGGTTTATTTACTCCTGGTACACACCACAAACAATTACACGTAATTATAGCGCTATCGCCTTTTGCACAGTCCACCGTTACACACGCACTAGGATTCTAAGTTTCCACTGGATCTCAACACAGAAACTAGCACTTCAAATCACCATGTAGTCGTGTCGCTATTTCGTCTTGAACCGCTCTGGAACATCGGAACTAAAAATTCTTTGGACTCACTCCTCCAGCTTACGACTGACTCGTAACTATCCTGAACGAATTCTGTCACTCTTCCTTATATAGCCGCGGAAAGCACATGGACCAACAGTAAACATATATCACATGATCACTATCCAGCCAGTCTGTTGGCGCGTCGATCGGATCAACAGAAAACACAGCTTCCTCTATTGTTGCGTGTTGGACCGTATTTACAGAGCTGTTACCTGGCAACGCGTTGATCAAATTCGTTACAATATTAGAAAGAATCTGAAGGATATGTGGTTGAAAGTGTGGACTGGATTCATTTGGTTCAGGATAAGGACTGACATGGGACTGTTGTGAACACGACAGTAAATACAGTAGTTGGGATTCATAGAAAGTGGATATTTTTTGTGTGGCAGAGTGATTGTGACCTTCTGAAAAATGGTCCTGCATCATAGAATTAGCTTGTTAGTTAATTAGTTAGCCCTGGACACAGCCACCGAGAATAATTTTGGAATCGATGTTTTAGAGGGCGCTATCCTGAAAGTAACTGGATCAGATTGATTTTAGTGTTACGAATGAACCATAGACCTTGACTGGAACACCGAAGTTTTCTCTTTACTTTTTTATCGTGTTCTTCTCGCGTTCAGTGAAACAGTTTAAAACTAGTGTCGATTTTGATCCTCGATTCTCCTTTACTGTTGACCTATTCTTACACTAAAAGCCAAAGACACAGTACACCACATGTCTTTTGTTATAAATTCTAATCTTCGGAAAAGGGAATCGATGTTTCTTCAGAGTCAACCTCTTCCTTCGAAGCGACGGAATTTTTTTTTTAGAGGTGAAGAACATCTTTGTATACCCTCACATTCACGAGATACGTTCGCAAGACGATGCAGTCGATATCTCGAAATTCAATATACAGATCTCAGTTCGCACGTTTGGGAAGCACAGTAGCAAACCAGAGCGTTTGGGTACAAGGGTTCTATCCCCGATTATTATTTATGAAAATGTTATTAGCAAGTTACATTCTTAGAATGCTTACTTCCATTCAGGCCAGTGTCTCTTGCCTTCCCGTCCTGTATATAAAAAGTAAACATTGTCCCTGTGCTTAATTAAGCACCACCACATCATAATGTATGGGGGGAGCAGAAGTATAGCTCCATGTATTCTTGATCTCAACACCACAACCGCTATAACCCAAGGGAAAGAGCTCATGAGTCCCATTGGACAGGGCGCTGGTTGCGCTACAGACATGGTCTGGACCCTGTGGAACAGAGAAACATCTCTTTCCCTTGTCGAGAATCGAATTCAGATTTCTTGGTCCTCCAGTCCGTAGTAAAGGGATGGCGTGATCGGTACAGTGACTGGCTACGGGCTGGGCGAGTGAGGGGCCGGAGTTCGAGTCGGAATAGGGTCAAGGATTTTCTATTTTCCACGTCGTCCAGACATGCTCTGATGCCCAACCAACCTCCTAACCGCGGGCTCTTTCTCCGGGGGTAGAGCGGCCGGAGTTTGAAGCTGACCACTCGCCTCCAACTAGTGCCGAGATCAAGGAATTATGGGTCTATACATCCACTCCCCATACTCCTTCATGCCGTAGTGCTTAATTAGTTAAGCACAGAGACAATTTTACTTTCTTAACGACTCAATGAAGACGCCTGTTCCACCTGTAGCTTTGTATGGCCTATCATTACAAGGGAGGAAGAGGCTGAAAGTTTTTGAGAAACAGATGCTGAGGAGAGTATTTGGGCCTTACTGAGAGGAAACGGCAGGATAATGCAGAAAATTACACAATGACGCTGACGCACTATAAAATTTGTATTCGTCACCAGATATCAGAATTGTTAAGTTAATTAGACGCGAATCGTAATTCAATAAAACTGACAGTAACACAACTAGAGACATTTTTTCGTACAGTACAGTACAGTACAATGGAGAGCAGGGGTAGCTCAGTCAGTGTAGTGACTAGGCCATGGGCTGGGTGGTCAAGGAATCGGGGTTCTATTTCTGGCAAGCAAAAGAGATGTTTTCTTCTCAGCGTCCAGACCCACCAGCTTCTTCTCCAATGGTACAAGGGTTCTATCCCCGGTGTAAAGCTACCGGGGGCGTGAAGCTGACCATTTCACAGTGCAGGAATACCTCCATATAAAGGAATAAAAAACGAAGTGAACATTTTTCCATCCAGACATGTCTTCGTTCATCGCTGATATTCTGTAGGATCTGAGATTGTCACAGCAGTGATAATGGAGGTTTCTGTCTTCTGGGATACAATGCAGTATAGTCCGTTAAAGCTAACAAACCTTTCGGAGGAAGATATAGCCTCCATGATCACGGTCGTCGAAATTAGCGTGAAGTAGGTAGAAAGCAGAGCTCTACTTTATTCTAAAACGTTGGTTGATTTGTAACGGACTACACGGCGTTATATCCCAAAAGATCTCTTCGTAACCAGCGCTGTGAAAATATCATATCATACAAGTTAAGAAGGTGCACATTAAATATTGCTGTGTGAACAAAATAAATATAACGTTAGAGAAACCAGAAATACACAGAAAAATTCACAGCGGACTGTGGACTTGCCCTCTATACCTTCACACTAGAGCAAGGAATGTTGCAATATTATCCTATATTATAACTTAAAACATTTCACAGAAATTTGTACGATCAGGGAACACGATGAAAGCCGCGGTATATCCAAATCCGCGGTAAAGCGGGGGCCTACTATATTTTGTTATATGTTCATGATACAGAATTATGTTTCAAATAAAATGTACAGATTTTAATGCGGTCAGTATTTTGGTTTCATAAAGGGCTGGGAATTTCTTGAGAGCACGAACATGTATCAACGCCTCTAAAGGGCTTAGATCTCTTAAGTTAGTTAAACAGATTGCTTTAAATTTACTCACCGATATGTTTAACCTTTCGGGCAGACACTTTTACCCGTCACTTTCTCTGGGACTACTTATCTAACTGTGCAAGATACCTAATTATATCCAAGATAAATTAAAGTTTCTGGCAGGCACACAATTACCCTTTAGTATATTTGTCTTGTGATATATCACTTTGAGTAGTTATGAAAAAGCTAAATAGTTCCATTCACTGTGACTGGTTAAGATTTTCTTATTTCAATTATTCATGCCCTTACATGTTTCGGTCTTCAGAGACCATCTTCAGAGGGACACCTTTACATCAATACAGTTAGAAGCCACCATTACAGTACATGTTCTAAAAGTCAAAATATATACATACAATATAAATAATATGCAATTGGCTGTAAAATCTTAAGTCTTTACAACTACAGCGGCTGTTCCAATACATTAAAATATTTATAGTTAGTTTTTTAAGATTCTATTGGAATTCGTAAACCAAGCAGGTTCATGTCGTCCCTCTTATTATTTCTTTTGACGGGGGCCCAATGTGTGCCACCCTGTCGTTCTTGAGAAGAGGGTTCTGCAAATATATTATGGGTATATTGTATTATTTCATCAATCCTATTATGTTTTGTAAAATCTTCTGTTATTTCGTCCTACCTTTAATGTTGTCCTGTATGTGTTTGTGCCCCGCTATGTTGTTTTTCATAATATTAGTGTGACAGACCAGAATGAAACAAATCAAATTCTTTGAGTAGTTATTTTTACAAATTCTTTATGTCCATTTACTAAAATGAATTACGTCCTCCGATTCTAACTTCCAGTATTATAAGAGCAGGAATACTAGACTTATATTTATAGAATATCCCGTTTGTAACAACAGTTTTATCAGGTTGTGATTAACCATGTATACACTGGAGAACTGCAGACTTACTCACGGAGAAAGCATAATAAACCCCTAGTTTTTTTTAATTTGTTGACATTAGAAACATAATTTTCCAGCACAATAATTTTATTTTCGAATCACATTAACTTGTTACACTGCTTATGGTGTTATGAATAAAGAAACTTGAAGCTCATTCGTGAGGCTTTAGACTTGTATTCTGGGAGCGTCTCTTTCGAATCTTGGCCGGGAAACCTATCCTGACAAAGCCTTAGCGTGACTTTATCCAGTCTCTCTAGGCAAATGTCAGGGTGGTATCTGAATTAGGCCACAACCACTTCTTTCCAAATTCTTTCCAATTAATCTTCCATTTACGATCCTAACAAGCGATGCTGAATATTTTGAACACGTTGTAGAATAATCTACTAAAGAACGAAAAGAAAAATGCATGTGACGCGACATGTTTCCACTCGAAATGAGGGTTCCAGTTTCGGTTTCATAGTCCTATACATCTTTTGTAACCTCCGTGCCAGAGTTCCTTTTCTTTTGCTGCCCCAACAGAGAAATGCCAAAGATATATGAAATTACTCCATTCTCTTGCAAAGGGTGTTAAGGTGAAGTGCACGTATTGCCACAGAGCTTTGGTTGCTATTCACATCCATATTTCTGATATATTTTTTAAATATACGAATTAACTTTAATTTTTAATATGAGTGCTATCAATTGTTTAAAGTTTTAATTGCAGTATGCTTTGTTATTGATAAAGATAGCGAATATATCGCCGCGCTCCAACGGGTACGTCTGCTTGTATTGCATAGGGATATGTTACATGAACAGAAGATGAACTGATTATAATAGAACATAAGTAGTAACATAATGGTAAACCGCACACAAACATTTGAAATTATTTGAATGCAGACCTGCTAATTCAACCTTGAATGCACGATTTGCCAGAAGTGTAAGGATAAACTTATAACATCTTCTCGTCCGCTGATTCAATATGAGAACTTAAGTAAGGACTCACCTAGGATGTCGCTGTTGTGTTGACAAGTGAAACGCGTACTCCGACCACGTCCGGCGTCGTGGTTCACTTTTATATGCCTTGAGCAAGACAGGCTGGAGTCCCCCCTCCCTCTGTTGGCGCTGTTTCGCCCCCTGAAATCCTTGCGCTTCTTAAGATGCAACATCGTTTTTTTTTTTCTTTCCCCCTCTCTGAACAGATGTCAAGCATTTGAAACCTAACCTCATTCTTGGTATTCTCGCAGAAACTTTTTCATTTTTCCAGTCTTTCATTTCATGTATAGGTAAAAGGTAAAATTGTCCGTCTGTTAATAAATTAAGCACTATTTCTTGAAGACATATGGGGGAGTGGAAGTATAGCTCCACCATTCGTGACCTCATCACTAGATGGAGATGAGTGGTCGGAATCACGACCCGGCCGCTTGACCCTGCGGGAAAGCGCCATTTGTACCCATTGCATAGGAAGCTGTGTGGGCCCCAGGGTCAGTCTGGACCCCTTAACAATCTCACACATTCAATGAAATGTAGAGCTTTATTGAAAGTGCGCCTAAGCTATTGCTTGATTCCGTAAAATAATTTTCCAGGTGAAGATTAATATACGTATTATATAGGCCTATAGAAATTCTACTGACGCCTAAGTATGCTCTGTGGATAAACGCAGAGTTTTAAAATGTAAACGAGGTACAGGGTAAAGAGCAGTGTCATGGTGAAATATCAAAAATATTAGCAGCTTCGGAAAACCTAGACACTGAAGTGATATTAATAGAGCTTGGGAAACTGTTAAAGAGAATATAAAAATTTCTGCAAAAAAAAAAGAGTCTAAGTTATTATGAACTGAAGCATAAAAAATGGCTCCATGAAGAATGCTCAAAATTACTAGACCACAGGAAACAAGCCACACTACAGTGGTTACAAAATCCAAGCGAAAAAAATTGGGATAATATAAACAAGCCAGCAGGCATTTCATGAATAAAAAGAGGGAATATCTGAAAGACAAAATTGATGATCTTGCAATGAACAGTAAGAACAAGAATATTAGATACCTGTATAGACTTTAAGAGGGGTTACCAGCCTAGCAGTAACTTAGTGAAGGATTATAATGGTGATCTGCTTGCAGATTCTCACAACATCTTGAATAGGTGGAGGAACAACGTCTCTCAGTTATTGAATGCACATAGGGTCAGTGATGTTAGGCAGACAGAATTCAATACAGCTGAGCCGTTAGTACCTAATGCTAGCCCTTTTGAGGTTGAAAGCGCTATTACAAAATTGAAAAGTTATAAATCGCCAGGTAGTGATCAAATTCTGACAGAACTTATTCAAGCAGGAGGCGAAATATTACGTTCTAAGATCCATAAGCTAATTACTTCTATTTAGCATAAGGAAAAATTGCCTGATCAGTGGAAAGAGTCTATTATTGTACCAGTTCACAAGAAGGGTGATAAAACTGACTGCAGTAATTATCGGGGGATATCACTGCTATCAACTTCATACAGAATTTTATCCAACATTCTTCTCTGAAGGTAAAGTACATATATAGATGAAATTATTGGGGATCATCACTGTGGGTTTCTACGTAACAGATCAACTGCTGATTAGATATTTTGCGTTCGTGAGATATTGGAGAAAAAATGGGAGTAGAATGAGGCAGTACATCAGATATTCATAGACTTCAAGAAAGCCTATGATTCAGTTAGGAGTGAAGTATTGTACAATATTCTAATAGAGTTTGGGATACCCATGAAACTAGTTAAGCTGATTAAAACGTGTTTAAACGAAACGTATACTAAAGTCCGTGTAGGTAAACATTTGTCTGATAAATTTCCTATCCAGAATGGTCTAAAACAAGGAGATGCTTTATCGCCACTCCTTTTCAATTTTGCCTTAGAATATACAATCAGGAAGGTCCAGGGAGGCCAGGTGGGACTGAAATTAAATGGGACACATCAGCTGTTGGTCTTTGCTGCTGATATGGATCTACTGGGTGATAATGTAGATACCATAAAGAAAAACACACAAACTTTAATTGACGCAAGTAAAGAGGTTGGTCTAGAAGTAAACACAGAGAAAACTAAGTATATGTTACTGTCTCGTCACCAAAATGCAGGGCAAAATCATGATACAAAGATAGATGAACAGATGTTTCGCAAATGTGGCACAGTTCAGATATTTGGGGACGACTATAATGGATCAAAATTTGATTCAGGAGGAAATTAAGAGGAGATTAACCTCGGGTAATGCTTGCTACCATTCAGTCCAGAACCTTTTGCCTTCTCACTTGGCAACTGCGTTTCAAATATATATGTGGAATATATAGTGATAGAGTGTGTTTTAAGTTAAAGGGCTAAACTAGGTTATGACATTCTTCTGGGTTGTAACGCCGTATAGTTCGGAGACAGCCCGACGTTTTGGAGTAACATATCACCTCCATCTTCAGAGTGTAAGAGTAAACTAAGTAAAAAAGAAGCAGAAGCAGGCGGCAAGCTGTTATTCGCTTACTTCTGCTGCCTTGTTGCTAAGAGGCGATGTGTTCGTCCGAAACGCTGCGATCTTTCCGAACTGCATTGTGTTGCAACCCAGAACGCCGTAGAGGGGAGAAAGAAATTGTGACAGAACAGTTTCAGTGACTGATCCAGTGTCGCCAAATACAAATCTCCCACGTGTTGAGCATGACGCCCTCCTGTTGCGCTCTGCGCGTATGACGTCACAGCAGCTATGACCAATGCGACGGCGAAGCCCAGCAGCTCTGCACGCATGCGTAGGTGTAGCGGGGTACACCGTCCCTCGAGCGTTGTTAAGGGGATTTGTCAGAGTCGCTTCCAAGAAATAAAATTGCTTTGCGTGGATTTCATTCTGTAACTCCACTGCAGAAATTGATTTGTAGTTTAGTTTCAATGATGCTGTCGGTATGAGAAGAATTATTATCCAATGATAAGATGATTAGCCGATAATTGATTGGAAAGGATATTGAAGCAAGCGACATTGGCCGAATTAATTACCCAGATATTGGACTATAGAGACTGAGAAAAATTACGGAAAATCCCATGAAAATGGTCTATGTCCTAGCCGAGATTCTAACCTGGAACCTCCCAGAAACAAATGTAAAGTGATACTTCTTCAGTACAAATCATTGTAGATCAGAATTGTAGTTTTGCTTTAAATGCAGAGAACATTGAAACACTGTTCTCCCATGGACCATCCATCCTTCCGGTATCTACGGCCAAAAGAAGTGTAAGGACGGATAAAGCTAAATAGAAACCAGGCGAAACAGTTGATAGAGGTGCTGATACATGACGCTGTCGCTTGAAAGACTCATATTCAGACTGTAAATAGACCTATCTGTGAAAGGTGCCGCGGCAAGGACGGAATAGACTCACACGTCCCATGTAACTTTCAGGTAAAACAAAAGGCAACGCCATGAAGACATGTGAAGGAGTGGAAATATGGCTCCACACATCCTGAATCTCGGTTACAGATTAAGGTGAGCGTTCAGCTTCACGCCGGAATCTCTCTACTCGGGAAGGAGCAACCGCTTCCCTTCGGATAGGAGGCTGGGTGGACCACAGGGCCGGTCTGAAAGTTAGAGAGAAGACAAAATCTCTTGCCTCTGCCGGGAATCGAATTCCGAGTCCTAGGCCTCCCAGCGTGTAGCCCGTCGCTATATCGACCAAGCAGTACTACACTTCAATGGATCTAGCGGCTGAAATTTGGCTTCATGTAATGGATCCTCAACTGGCGACGTCTGACTTGAACTGAAACCGCAATTCATTTCACATGCAGCCTGCTAGAGGGCTGATGTTGCAAAGGGAATGCACAATAGATAGCAGATGGTCACGGTGTAAGGGTCATTTGACGATAACCGTGTTAATCTACTCTATATTGACGGTCTTCCAAGTTGACGATTTGCAAGAGGCTTTGCCATCAAACTTCTGCGTGAGTGCATTGTCTCTATTGTCTCTCCTACCCTAGCCATATGATCAGCCCAACGTAGACCCCCCCCCTTGATTTCACTCTCCTGATAATACACGTAACATATGTCAAAAGTAAAGCTATCCCTGTAAGAGGCAGTGGATGCTCATAGGTTTGTGAGACGTCGAGGCTCCCACATTTTCTCTAGACAATCAGCTCACAGATGGCGGAGAGGTTGTCAGACATACGTGTCTGCCGCCATTTACCCCCAGGACGATTCCTGGTACTCATTTCTGTTACAGGCTGAGTCGACCCCAGGGCCATAGTGCGGCTGGGAGGATTAGGTCAATTGAAAAATTCAATGAACTCGTCGGGAATCGAACCCGCGACCTTCCGGCTTGTAGCATAGTGCCTCAACCAACTACGCTAACGTGTGCCCCTTAATCCTTCTTTGCAAATGTTAAAATAGTAACTTAAAATGAACTGGACAGCTTCCTTTCGCATCCTTTCCAGTTCATTAGTCACTACCGTCCAGTCCTGCGACGCTATGTATTATGAGCTGCTGTCATGTGCAAGGACATATATTCATTAAATAAAACATGGCTACACATAACCTACAGAAAAAATGGGGACATGTTTTGTAGGTCCTGACCATCAGCGTTTTATATACTGCATCAGACTGGTTTCTCGCTTTGCTTATTCTTCCATTCTGAAGACTGAGGCAATATATCTCTTCGAAACGTCGGTTAACTTTCAATGGACTACAGTGCGTTATTTCATTGTATAGAATTATTCAGGTTGATAACATTTTCCGAATTTATTCTTCACTCAATTTCATCACTTTTTTCCCCCATTTGAAATTTGAAGTTCTCCCAGCGGTGACTTGCTTGTGGCATGTGATTCCGTGTAATCTGGTAAAAGTTAACTAACGCTTCGGATGAACATACTGTCACCATTTTCTAGGTCGAACTGTAAACATTGCGAGCAACCGGAGTGAAACACCCAGTAAACTTTGTCGTCCAGTTCTTCAGTTGCCTCTTCTGCAGTTGGTACCACGGAAGAGAACATGTGTAGGCTTGCTGTAGCAACAATTCATTCTGCATTGTGCCTCACAATGATGAACA